GAGTAAGCTCTGGAGTCTAAGAGAACCAATTAAAACAATAACGACAACAACATTTGCACCAAAATGAATGAATGAATGAATAAAATTTTAGAATGAAAAATTTAGAAATTTCCTTACGCCTTAATGAAGTGAAGACTTGAGGCTTCTTGGGGTTAAAGCTTCATTTAAGTCACAAGTTTACTATAAGGAAAATGGGAAAAATTATTGTAAATAATTTTGTAATATTCACGTTAAGCAAATCGCACATCTTAAATCATTCAGTATCTCTCAGTATCTCAGAGAAGATTATAGCTTTTCTTGGCCTATAATTACATAATAATTCAAAATTCAAGAGGAAAGAAATATAAGAAGGGATGAAAGAGTGGGAGAGTAAATTTTAATATCTTTCTTGTTCATCTCAGTAGGAAATAAAGACATGATTCCCTAGTTTGACTTTGTTTGACACATTTTCACTTCAGTCATTACTTGCAGAGCTGGTTTTCAAATTGTTTTCCTGAACAGAATCTCCAGGGGTTTCCACGAAAAAGGGTAAACATTTTAATTGGTGTCTTGTTAGCCACCTTCAGGACCCCCTACTTCACCCTGGTAATATGAAAACCAATTCAAAAGGGTTCTAATTTCAAAAAGTATGAAAATGCTTGGTCTATCAATCATCAACTGGGTTTACAAAAAACAAAAATAAAGGGAACTTTTCATTTTGGAGATTTTGGGTTAAGATATTAAAATGAAATTGTTTAGTCAGTTTTCAGCTATTCAGGGGCTGATTATCCAGGTTTCGAATTAATTTATCTCCACCTCAGCTTCTTTTCCTCCTTACCATTTCTTGCCTTCCCGTCATTTTAATTAGGTCATATTACTTACTTGAATGGATAAGAAAGAAGGAAAAAAGAAATCTTAAAATTAGTCAGTCAGGCGGCTTGTTAGCATTTCTAGTAAAAAAAAAAACTCTTTAAGGAGAAAGGTGACACAATTGTTCAACTGCAGTGGGAAGATTATCTGTGAGGTATTATTTGTGTTAACTTTCTCCCCTATGATTATGGATAATTGAAAATCAGTTGCAGAATATCTGTATAATGAAGTATAATTAGCTCCCTCTATTGACTGAAATGCTTTTCAGTTCTCACCTTAACAGCTTTATTAGGCCCCTTCTCCTGAAATGCCTGAGGTTTCCTGAATGATTTATAGGGCTTTTATTTTTTCTTTTAATACCACACTAACAGGATTGATAAAGATAGTTTACAACTGAGGTTTGATGTGCACTCTCTCTTTGTAGTAGAAGTGCCGTGAGAAGAGATGTAATAAAGAAGGTAAGCATAGTAGGTCAATTCAATCAAGTCCTGAGTTGCTAAGTAAATGATGACTCATCTGAGATCTGCCTGCATTCATTACTGTAGAGAGGTGTTTCTCTGCTAAGGCTCAAGGGAGAAGATGGAATTGCATTAATTGCACTGGGAGTGGTAACATGCTTCTTCCATGATCACAAAAAAATCAAAAACATACTGTGCTTTAACTACAAAGGGTAGTTGTTTTTTTTAAATAGAGTGATAGGTGTCCCCCAAGATCTCCCCAAATAATTGTCGCTTTGCTGGATATGTAACAGCTTCAATATTCTTTATAACTATCCAGTTAAGTGAGTGACAATTATAGTGTGCTAGTAAAAGAATGTGGGTGGCTAGGCGGTACAGTGGATAGAATGCTGGGCTTGGAGTCAAGAAGACTCATTTCCCAGAGTTCAAATCTGACCTCAGGCACCTACCCGCTGTGTGACCCTGGGCAAATCACTTAACTCTGTCTTAGTTTCTTGATCTCTAAAATGAGTTGGAGAAGGAAATGGGAAACCACTCTAGTATCTTTGCCAAGAAAATCCCAAATGTGGACACAACTGAACAGCAAGAATAAAGGTTTCATTCATTTTAATATTAATCTATTCCTTATGAAGTGAGTGGTTTTGTTTTATTTTGTGTTATCTGAATATGTGTCTTTAAGAAAAAAAATGGGTTCATCAAAAAAGTAGTGGCTGGGTTTTAGATTTTTTTTTGAATGGTAATTAACAACAGGACAAGTTTCCCATAATTGCATTAGGAACAGAAAGAATCACTTGAAACATGTGTAAAGTCATCTGCCTCCTGGTCCCCTTCTGTTGTTGTTTTTTGGCTAGGCAATGGGGTTAAGTGACTTGCCCAGGGTCACACAGCTAGCAAGTGTTATGTGTCTGAGGCTGGATTTGAACTCAGGTCCTCCTGAATCTAGGGCCAGTACTCTATCCACTGCACCATCTAGTTGCCCCTCCTGGTTCCCTTCTGGTAGATCACAAGGAGATGGTCTCTTGCTATAAAGGTGGTTGGAAGCTTTGTATTGCTCCAGCTACTGGTGGGCTCAATTCTTAAGGACTTAAGCACTGAGATAATGTAACAATCCATTTATAAAGTGGAAGGGAATTACCATTTATTAAGAGTCTACTATGTACCAGGCATTGTGCTAGCTGCCATTACACATGTTACTTCATTAGATTCCCATGTAAGTCTCCACAATTGATGCCTGAAGTCAAAGAGGACTGTCTGCTGAGCAGCAAAAGTTGCTTTAAAAGGAGAGGACAAAGCCTCTGTTTCTCTCTTCCCTTCTGAGCATAATATTTGGACTTGGGAGTGACGAGGGAGATAAATGCCCTCTCCAGCAGTATGTATCCGCCTTGAGATGCTCTACCAAATAAGCCTCCCTCCTACTACTAGAAATATTTCTTCAGACTTTTTGCATCGGCAGGTTCTGTATTTATCTCTACATAAATAGCACATTTATATAAATGCTATATATGCATATGACAGTGAAATGCAAAACTTCAAAACACAATCAGTACCTAGAATCACAAAATGTTAGAACTGGCCTAAGAGGTCACCCAATTTCACCCCTCATTTTACTGAAACTGGGGGACCGTCTCCAGACATCCTGATCTATATCTGGCCACTGAATCCAGATGGCTCTGGAGGAGAAAGTGAGGCTGGTGACCTTGTACAGCCATCCCTCACTTAAATCCAATTCACTTGCAAGTCATGGCATCACCTTCTTGATGTCATAGCCCTCTTCAAGACCGAAGGACAAATAACAAGTGAGGCTGAGAGGTGAAGTGATCCACCCGGTGTGACATGGGGAGTAAGAGACAGAAAGCCAGGACCTCCTGGCTTAGAGCAACAGAGCATCGTGAAGAGGGGGATGTAGAAGACGTGGATTCAGAGGCCCAAGGTTTGAATCCTGGCTCTGCTATTTATTACTTGTGTGACCTCAGGAAAGTCACTTCATCTCTCTGGGCCTCAGTTTCCTCTTCTGTAAAATGAGATCAGTTGGATTTCATTGATGTCTAAGGCCCCTTTCACATCTAAATAAATCAAATAATCAAGAAGTATTTATTCGAATCTACTATGGGTGCCAGGCACTGTACTAGGCAAAGGGTACAGAGTACAAAAAAATGAAACCATCTCTACTCCCAATGAGCTTACATTCTGATGGGAGAGACAACTAGTGCATATAAAAACACAGAAGGAATAAATATAAAATTAATAATAAACATATATGCCTATTTACATTTTATGGACATATCTGCATATGCACACAGTAACAAAGAAGCCCTAGGAGCTTAATAATAATAACAACAATAATACATGTTTATTTATATTTTATAGACATGTGTGCATATACTTAATAAAATGTTTGTTGACTAACTAGTCATGTAAAATGGTAGTTTGAGAGGAAAGGCCCTAGCAGTTGGAGGGGAAGAGGAAGGGTTTCATGCAGAACATCCGAAGCCCAACACCCCCTGACCACCAGTAGTGTCTGAGGAGGGAGGAAAAAGGAGCCACAAGAGAGGAGCGAGAGAAAACTACATATCCCAGAGGGCACCGCGGATCACGCACAACATTCTCTCTTTCGCATCTATTGCTCCCTTTTTTCTGGAGACGCTGGCCAGTCGTGTGAGGAAGAACTACATTTCCCAGGATGCTCCAGCCGAGGTTGCGCTTTGCGCATGGGCGCTGCCCCTCTGCAGGAGAGCGGTCCGTTTGAAGCGGTTCTTGAAGCTCCGTGGAAATCCGCTTGACTGAAGTGTCGCCATCGGAGGAGCACCCGACAGTCGTCGGGGTGAGGGTCCTGGGGGCTCAGGACGGCTGGGCTTGGAGAGGGTGGCGATGAGCCCGAACTTCAGACTCTGGGCCCCGCGGACGCCGAGTCACTTAACGTCGGGGAGCGGTGAGGGGGAAGGGGAGGCTCGCCTGCTCCGCGGGGGTGGGGGGAGGGACGATTGACAAGGCCAGCCTCTCACTTACAGATGAGGAAACTGAAGCCCAGAGAGGGAAGGGACCCGACTAAGGTCGTAGTTAATTAGGGTGAGCCCCTGAAACTCTGACCCAGGGCTCTTTCCGCTCGATAAACGGCCATCGTTCCACTTTGGGTGCCTCCCTGTTCTAGGCAGCTCGGTGGATAGAGCACTGGGCCTGGAGTCAAAAAGGCCTGAGTTCAAATCCAGCCTCAGACACTTACTAGATGTGTGACCCTGGGCAAGTCACCTAACCTGTTTGCCCAATGGAGAAGCAAATGGCAATTACTCGAGTATCCTTGCCAAGAAAATCCTATGGTCGTTGTTGCCCTATTGTGGCCCACTGGGTCTACTGAACAACAAATGACCCTGTTATGTCCATTCTTAAGGACTTTACCATCACAGTACAAATTCTAGGTCTGGAGTTTGAGTCCCTCTCATTTAAATTCTCTAGGCCTCCTTTCCCTTATCTGTAAAATTAGGAGACTGGACTAGAATAAAATTTTTTAGCTTTTTTTGTATGCCATTTTTCTTCTTTTTTTTTTTAAGGCAATTGGAGTTAAGTGACTTGCCCAGGGTCACACAGCTAGTAAGTGTCAAGTGTTTGGTCTGAGGCCGCATTTGAACTCAGGTCCTCCTGACTTCAGGGGCGGTGCTCTATCCACTGAGCCATCCACCTGCCAGCCATGTATGCCATTTTTATATGCCGCTTTGGCAGTCTATATCATGGCTACATTACAGTTGCCGAGAAACCTAAAGGTACAGGACATTTTTTCAAGCAAGTGTAATGTTGTTAAAGTGAAAGTAAGAAACTAACAAAAATAATTGTCACTTGTCCAATGAATATGAATGTTGTCACTTTTTAATTACAGATGGATTTGAATATTGCAACAGCCAGAGCAGTCCTCTCCCCAGTGAACCTCAATGCTGCAACTCCTGAGGCATTCACTGTGCTTCAGAAGAGGATGAAAATAGCAGAAGAGCAGTCCAATACCTTAATGAATGACCTAATAATGTTAGGTTTGACTGGACAAAGGTAACATGAGATCAGCTAGATTTGTTTAGTTTGTAGAAATTTATTGGTTATTCATTCCTTGTTAATAAAAGCTATAGTTTATTTTGGAATTCAATCTAAACAGTGTTTAGAAGTTTTGAGGGAGAGAAAAATGCTTGAAGCAGTTGGAAAGCCCAGTTTCTTGGAAACTTAATAGAATGAATCTATAGCTTCCTACCCCACCCTACCCCACCTCCACCCCCAGCAGGGGCAGCTGTTGATTTAATAGGTGGAGTGCTGATCCTGGCATCAGAAAAGATCTGAGTTCAAATCCCACTTCAAACATTTACTAGCTATGTGACCCTGGGCGAGTCACTTAAAAAAAAAATTTCTGTCTGCCTCAGTTTCCTCAGTTGTAAAATGGGGATAATAATAGCACCTCCCTTGCAGGGTTGTTGTGAGGAAAAAATGAGATATTTGTAAAAGTGCCTGGCACATAGAAGGCACCATGTAAATACTTATTCCCTCCTTCCTCTTTTCCTCAAATACTATTTTCATCATATCCTTCTCCTTTTCAGGAATCTGTAGTAGTTCTTTATTGTCCATCTCACTCCTCAACCTGGCTCCCTCGTACCTTTTCATTCTTTCTCATATTCCAACTCATTTTTTCCACACAAAACACATTTGTCTGTCATCTTCTAAATACAAAATTTTTTATTTTCAACTCCATGAATTTACTAAAAGCATCCCCCTTCCAGTATAGAATGCTTTCTTTTTTTGGGGGGGGAGGGTAAGGGTAATTGGGGTTAAGTGACATGCCCAGAGTACACAGCTTGTGAGTATTATGTGTCTGAGGCTGAATTTGAACTCAGGTGTCCTGACCACCCGCTGTGCCACTTAGCTGCCCCCAGAATGTTTTCTTTTTACCTCTCCACAAATATCAATTTTTTTTTCCTGAAATCTGTCTCAAAACCCCCTTTTCCAGGAAACCTTCCTCAAATAGCCTACCCTAACTTTTATAGCTTTTAAACTCTGTATTCACTTAGCAGTTTGCTATTTAATTTCAGTTGTTATTTTGCAGCTGTTATCTTGATTGATAACTTCTTAAGGAGGGGGGCAGGGATTGTTTGTATATTTTACTCAACTAGATTATAAGCTGCTTGGAGTAAGAGACTTTGCCTTATTTCTTTGGCAATTCCTAGGATTGGGGTGGGAGGGAAGCAGTAAGGAAGAGAAAGCAATTAAAGCCATTTAATTTAAATTTCTAGACTGGAACATTAAATCTAATTAATTTCCTATGCAAAAATGCATTCTTCTTATAAAGATAGTGTCAAACAATTGAGGAGTAGGATTCATTGCTGGAAAACATACCATAGATTTTATAGCAATTATATATTTCATATTTTCAGATTATTGTAGCTAGCTGGACAAATTGAATGATTTCTTGATTATTTTCCATGTTGAATATAAAGCTGAGAATACCGAAATTGTTAATGAAGTCATTGGGAAGTGAATCAATCATTTCTAGTCCAACAATAACATCTAGCACAAAACACTTCACTGCACATAATAAGCCCTAAATAAATCTTGATTGTATTGAACAGTAATAATTGATTTAGCATTTTTATATTAAAACAATTGTTATAAACCAAAACAAACAGATAATTTTTTTTTAATTTTTTAATTCATTTTAAACTTAAATATAAAACAAGAAATGAAAAAGAGAACATTTCCATGTACACAGCAGAACACGAGAGGAGTCAATATAAAACAAAAAATTTCCATTTCATGAAAACCTATGTAATAAATCCTATACATTGTTTTCAAAGCAACCTAGCTTTTCTATGCTTCCTTCTAGGTTTTCTTTTGTTCTCTGCTGTGCACTTTTAATTCAATTTTATTTTATATTTTCTCCCTCCTTCTTCCCACCCACTCTATAGAAGGCTACAATTTCATGCGAATGTATATGCATACATATCTATAAATATACACACATATATATGAAATATACATATATTTTGCATATTTCTGTATGTCATTTCTTTCTCTGGAGGTGGGTAGCATATTTCTTCATAGATCCAAGTCTGTCCATGTTTTTCTAAATCAACCAGCTCATCATTTCTTATATCACAGTAGTATTCTATCACAATCATGTACTACAGCTTTGTTCCCCAATAGAAGAGCAGGTGTAAGATGATATGTTAAAGTTATTTTAGTTTACATTTCTCTAATCAATAAGATTTAAAGCATTTTCTCATATGATTATGTATAGTCTTGATTTCTTCATTGAAAAACTGCCAGTTCATGTCCTTTGAACATTGATCAATTGGGGTATGACTTATTTTATACTGTACAGTTATTTTAAATGGTCTAACACAGTACTGAATAATATTGGTGACACAGTGTAGTTTACCTATTTTTCTCTGTTAATTAAATCAATTTTAGCTTTAAGTTTTGTCTGAGATCATGACTACTATCCCAGCTTTTTTTTTTAACATAATAAATTCTGCTCTAGCCCTTCATTTTATCTCTGTGTGTATCTCTCATTTTTATATTGTGTTTCCTGAAAGGGATATATTGTTGAATTCAGATTTTTAATCCATTCTGCTTTCTGGCTCCATTTTATGTGTAAATTCGTCTCATTCACATTCTAAGTTATAATTACTTGTGTATTTTCCTCCATCCTATTTTGCCTCACTTTGCTTCTAGCCTTACTCTATCCCTCCTCATTAGTCTAATTTACTTCTACTGGCTACCTAGCACTCCTATTCTTTAATCTGCCCATCCATCAGTGAATCCCGCCTTCATCATAATCTATCCCCAACCCTACATCATAATCTACTCCCCACCCTACACCATAATCTACCCCCCACCCTTCACCATAATCTACCTTTCTTCTTTATTCTCTCCCCCCCAACTAATTAGTAATCTACAAACCCTTAAGTCCCTCCCTCATTCTATCTCCTAACCCATTTCGAGAGTAGGGTTCTAGCACTACCAGCCCTCCACCCTCACTTGCTTCTTCTATATCAGTTCTTCCTTTCATGTCTCATTTGTATGAGATAATTTTTTAGAATCATCCCATCATACATAGCTCAGCCCAAGTCTTTCTTTCAAACTACCCGATAATGACAATCATAAGAGTATTGATAACATTTTCACATATAAGAAGTAAACAGTTTGACCTTGTTTCATCCCTTATAATTGGTCTTTAATGTTTACCTTACATTTCTCCTAGATTTTATATGTCAAATTTTCCATTTTCTTTTTGTCACAAACACCTGAAATTCTTTCAATTTGTTAAATGTCCATTTTTTTTTCATTCAGGGTTATACTTAACTTTGCTGGGTAAGTTACCCTTGGTCATAACCCAAGCTCTTTTCATCTATGAAATATAGTGTTCCAAGACCTACAGTCCTTCAACATAGAAGCTGCTAGGTTTTGCATAATCCTGATTGTAGCTCCATGATATTTAAATTGTTTTTATCTTGTTGTTTGCAATATTTTCTCCTTAACCTGAGAGCTTTGAAACTTTGCTATAATATTCCTGTAAGTTTTCCTCCTGGGATTCTTTTGGGTGGTAATCAGTGGATTTTTTTCTATTTCTGCTTTGCCTTCTTCTAGGACTTCAGCGCAATTTTCTTTAATTTCTTGTAGTATTGTATCAAGGTTCTTTTTTTGATTGTATTCTCTCAGGTAGTCCAACAATTCTTATATTGTCCCTTCTCAGTCGTTCTTCTGATGAGATGTTTCACATTCTTTTCTGTTTTTTTCATTCTTTTAATTTTATTTTATTTCTTGGTGTCTTATGACACCATTAGCCTCCCCCTTGTCTAATTCTGGGAAAACTGGATAGCAGTATGGAAGAAACTAGCTTTAAATCAACACCTCATAGCCACTACCAAATAAGCACCAAGTGAACATGTGACCTAGATATAAAGAAATCACATCATAAATTAGAGAAGCATGGAAAAAATAATTTATCAGATGTATTGATAGAAGAATTGTTTACAACCAAACAAGAGATAAGGAGGATCATAGAACATAAAATGAACAATTTTTATTACATAAAATTAAAAACATTTTGCAAAAACAAATTCGATAAAGTTAAGATTAAAAGGGAAGCAATCAATTGGGAAAATATTTACAGCAAATTTCTCTGATAAAAGCTTCATTTCCAAGATATATAAGGAACTGATCCAAATTTATAAGAATAAGAGCCATTCAGAGAAAAGAGATAGGATCTCATGGTGTGACACCAAAACTAAATTTATTTCAAAAAGTTGCTTGAGAATGGAATTCAACAGTACAGTTGCAAATGTGAGAAAAGAAAGGGAAAAAATATAGAAACTGATGTGACTACAGAAGGACCTGAGATGAACTCATATTTTAAAAGGCTATGTGAGAGCTAATAATAATAGCTAGTATTGAGGTAGCTAGGTGGCGCAGTGGATAGGGCATTGGCCCTGAGTCAGGAGGACTTGAGTTCAAATCCCGCCTCAGACACAAGCTACTCACTAGCTGTATGACCTTCAGCAAGTCACTTAATCCCGATTGCCTTGAAATAATAAAAATTTAAAAAAAATAGCCAGTATTTATAAATTGTTTTAAGGTTTGCAAAATGCTTTTCTAAATATTATATCATTTTATCTTTACAACTCTGAGGTAGGTGCTCTTATTATCTCCATTTTAAAGATGAGGAAACTAAGCAGAAATAATTTAAGTGACTTATCCAAGCTAGTAAATAGTGTCTGGTGCTTGATTTGAATTCAGGTGTTCTTAACTCTAGGCCCAGCGCTCTATCCACTGTGCCATCTCACTGCCCCTAATGTACAAATGATAGAAGCAAAAGCATAGAAAATTAACACGAGTGGTTTGGTATTATACAAATTGTTTAAGAAGCTTTACTGTTAAATTTCTAGTTAGAACTGCCAAAAAATGGAAGGGACTACCTCATAGTAGGTAGGTAGCTTACTATCTACCACATGAGTTCTTTACACTGAGGTTTTACAACCTATTATTGGGGGAATTCATGCCTCTTATAGGAGATGGCTAGATGAGCTGTAAGGACCCTTCTAACTCTTAAGATTCCATGAACTTAAGTGTTCTTAGAGTTGGCACGTGGAAGACGAGTTAGCCTTTCCTGCTTAGTCTTAGAGAGGAAATCTGAGATCAATGAGTGGAAGTTACAGGAAGACGGGCTTGTTTCACTGAAAGAAGAATTTCCTAGTAATTGTAGCTGCCTAAAAATGGAACTGCTGCCTCAGGAGATAGTGCTTTTACCAGCAATGAAGGTGATGTGGCAAGAGGTTTTAACAACAGTTGTTGGGGATATTATAGAGGTAACTCATGCTTCAGATAGGAGTTGAACTCTTATTTTTTTATTTTATTTTATTTTTTTTAGGCAGTTGGGGTTAAGTGACAGGGTCACACGACTAGTAAGTGTCAAATGTTTGGTCTGAGGCTAGATTTGAACTCAGGTCCTCCTGATTTCAGGGCCAGTTCTGTATCCACTGCACCACCTAGCTGCCCCAGGAGTTGGGCTCTAAAAGGAAATTGAATTGGTCTCTTTTGACTGAGATTTTATAATAACTAACCTTAAACCTTGCATTATTTTATAAACTTTTCTCAAAATTCCCATGAAGATGTTATCTCAGGTACAATGCAAATAGGGATTGCCTTCTGTTTCTTTATTCTATATTTTAGTCTTAACATAGTTTAGAACCTTTACATAGAACTTTTCCCACATAAATCAGTTTAAAGTCTTTTTTTAATTACTGATTTTTATTCATTTTGTACTACCTTTGCCCTCATCACATGATAATAACATCACATTTGTTTAACACTTTGCTCAACACTTCATGAATATCTTATTTGAGCCTCACAACAACCTCATGAATTAGGTGCTGCAGATGTTATTATCCTCATTTCACAGATGAGAAAACTGAGGCTCAGAGAGGTTAAGTGATTTGCCTAGGGTCTCGAACCCAGATATTATTGGGTTCCAAGTTCTGTCTATCATACTGTGTTGCTCCTTTGTTCTGCATTGCTTTGAAGTGTTAAGAATATCATTAATTTATCTAGTAATGTTTAGCGCAAATGATAACCAGTTTCATAACTGCATGTGCTGACTTCAAAATAACTGAAACTAGCATAATAAACTTTACATGAGTTAATTTTGCCACATCCGTTTTTTTAAAATTAGTCTTCAGACTCTTTCTACAGTACCTTTAGAAGATTCTGAGAACCAGAAGATCATTCATCCTCTCCAGGCCAGGGGTCCTTTTGTGGGAGAAAATAATGTTTTGTGGAAGAACTGTGAAACTCTGGTGAATAATATGTGCCAGCTAGAAAGCATCATGCAAAATCTGAAGGCGAAAATCTCACAACTTCAGAATAAAACAGAGTTCAATCCACAAAATTCAGGTATAGAGAGAAAACAATGAGAGCGCAAGTGTGGTACTTGCCTTAGCAACTTGTTTTGGGTGTAATGGTGCTCCATCATTTTGTATTGTCCAATAGTTTATATGAAAGATCAGCTAAATGCACTACAGGAAGAGCATCCACATGACCTGGGGGAGATGCATCTGGAAGTCATGAATTTGCATAAGCAACTGAGAGATATGAAGAAAGAAGGAAACCAGGCACAAGATGAAGTTCAAAGATTGAGCACCACACTGGAGATCACAACAGCAACAAAGGTTTGACCCTAGTGTTGTATTCATTTATATTCGTGCTTAGAGAGTGACAAGACCTTAGTCAGTCTTTGAAGACTAACTTTTAAAAGCAGGTTAGGTTGACTTTAGTGTACTTTTGCTGGCACATAATAGGTGTTGAATAAATGCTTGTTGACAGGGGACTGACAATACCCACATTGAAGCTTTCAAGCTATTGGGTGGTAATCAGCAATCACATATTCGAATTCCTCCTATTTGCCAGGTAGCGGCAGGGAGGGGAATACAAAGAAGTATGATAGTCCCTGAGATGAAAGGCTTGACAACCTAATTAGGAAGAAAAGATATTAAAAAATGAGAAGTTAAATTATATGAAACTGTAATGGAAGAGATTTATAGGGAAGTGCAGGATTAGTTACCAAATGATAGACATAGACAGTAAGTGCTGTGGATTCAGAAGAAGATGAGATCCCATTGGTCTAGGAAGGAGATGGGACCTTACCTGTGCCTTGAATGATATTTAAAGTTTAAATATACATAATAAACACAGGGAGAATAGAGGAGGACATTTCAGGCAAAGGTAAAAAAAGGGAGAATAGAGGAGGACATTTCAGGCAAAGGTAAAAACGACATGAACAATAGCATTAAGACAAAGGGTGGGTGTTCAGTGACCAGTTGAGTTTGACAGAGCATAGAGTTTTATATAGAGGAATACTTGAAGATAAAGTTGGAAGTATAAAGGGATTGTAAAGGCCCTGGATGCTAGACTAAGGAATTTGAACTTTCTCTTCTAAAGGGAGCAATTAAAGGTTTTTGTATTGGAGAGAAATGTGCTAAAAGCATAATTTAGAAAGATTAATCTCATTAGCAGCATTCATGTTTGATTACAGGAATAAGGGACTATAATAGTTGAAGTAGGCTATGAGGGCCTGAAACTAGGACTTTGATAGTGCAGTGGAACAGAAGACGTTGTGAAGAATGAATTAATGGGACTTTGTAACTGATTAATGCTACTTCTCCCTCTCCTTCATGTTAAAAGATGACTTAGATTCCCAGATGGTTGGGAGAATTGTAAAAGTATGGAAGACAAGAAGTGAGGATAGATAATGATTTTGTAGACATAGTATTTGAGGCAAAAATAAGAAATCCAAAAGAAAACGTTCAGTTGATAATTGGAAATGTGAATCTGGAGTTCAGAGGAATTGTCTGAGGTAGGGATGGATATTGAGAAGCTGTCCAAATAGAGGTGATGGTTAAAGCCTTGGAAATGGATAAGAACTGCAATGTAGAAGTTGTAGAAAGAGAAAAGACCATTTTGGAATATGCATATTTTAGTGGTAGATGAAAGAAAAAGATCAAAGAATGAGCAATCAGATGGGAGGATAGAGGACAGGAGAGTTTAGTGAATTAGGCTATGGTCATTACTGACAATCTTCTCTCCTCAGCCTCCCAAACCACCCCTTCTATTACCCTCTCAGCTAAGGACTTTCTTTGCCTTTTCTTCAAGAAAATTAAAGCCATTAGTTGTGAGCTCCCTTTGCTTCTCTTGACATCATTCACCATGTTCTCCCTTCTTTCTTCCAGACTTTGATTGTTATGACCCTTATCCTTGCTTATGCCAACTCCTCTACTTGTGTTTTCGATCCCATCCCCTTCCATTTTCTGTACTAGATTGCTCTCTCAATCTCAATCATCTTCTGTCTCTAATGTTCAACAATCTTTCCCTGTCTACTGGTTCCTTCTCTATTGCCTCATTTTCTCTATCCTTCAAAAACTTTCACTAAACCCTACCATCAAGGTATTATCCTGTCTCTTCTCCCTTTTTCAGCTAAGCTCCTTTAGAAAAAACTATCTGCAGGGGAAACTAGGTGGCGTAGTGGATAGAGCACTGGCCCTGGAGTCAGGAGGACCTGAGTTCAAATCCGGCCTCAGACACATTACACTTAGTAGCTGTGTGACCCTGGGCAAGTCACTTATCCCCATTGGCTAGCCAAAAAAAAAATGCTATCTACAGAGGGAAGAGGTAGGAGAGAGAGAGAAGGTTGGGGATAGGCCTTCCTCCTTTCTCACTCCCCAAAAAAATGAGAAGAGAAGGAAGGGCCAGAATGACTCACAGACAAGCAGGACCACTTTGAAAGTCACATGTTGAATGCACTTAAAGAGAAAAGAAAGCTCTATATAATTGAGTTTTGCAGTTTTATGTAGAATCCTCTCTTTTGTTCCACAATATAGATGGACATACTAATTTTATTTATGGTTTAAGTTCAGAATTTTAAAAATATGAATTAAAAAAAATTTGCTACACATTATTGACTCTACCACCCCTCTTCTGACTTTTTTGCAGTCTGGCTTCTAACCTTGTTACTCAACTGTAACTTTTCTCTGCAAAGTTACCATTGATCTCCTTATTGCCAAATCTAATGGTCTCTTCTAGGTCTTCAGTCTTCTTGACCTCTCTGCTACATTTGACACTGTTAACCTCCCTCTTCTAGCCTAGATCAGAGATTCTTAACCTTTTTGTATCCTAGTGAAGTCTATGGACCCCTAGTCAGAATAATGTTTTTAAATATAAACCAAATTATATCAATATAATTTTTTCCCATCCAAAGTAGTAGACTCCCTGGAATATATCTAAGGATCCCTTTGGGAATACATGGATCCCAGGTTAAGCACTCTTGTCTCAAATACTCCTTTATTCTCTTCCTCCTTTCTGACCATTCTTTCTCTCTCTCTCTCTCTCTCTCTCTCTCTCTCTCTCTCTCTCTCTCTCTCTCTCTCTCTCTCTCTCTCTCTCTCTCTCTCTCTCTCTCTCTCTCTCTCTCTCTCTCTCTCTCTCTCTCTTTTACTGATTGATCTTCTCCATCATGTCCCCTAAATGTGGATATTCCCCCAGGCTCTATCTGTACCCTCCTCTTTTTTCTTTCTAAACTCTTTATCCTTTGTTGACCTCTTTAGCTCTTATAGTTTTAGTTATTATCTCTTTGTAGATAACTAATAGGTCTATGCAGCCAGTCATTCCCAGATCACCAACTGCCCATGGATATTTGATAGTAGATGTCCTGAAGACATCTAAATTCAGCATGTCTAAAGTGGAACTAATTATCTTTCTCCCCAAACCTGCCTCTCTTCCAAACTTCCCTATTTTTATCAAGAACATCACCCTCCTTCCAGTCATCCACATTTATGACTTCAGTAACATTATTTACTCCTCCTTCTGTCTCACCTGTCTCCATAATATCTCTTACATCCATCTCCTTCTCTCTGTTCACACAGCCACTCCCCTTAGATGTTGTTATGGCCTCCTACTTTGTTCTTTCTGTCTTAAGTCTCTCCCCTCTCTATTCCATCCTCCACTTATTGGCCCAAGTTATTTTCTTAAAATGCAGACCTGACCGTGTAAATCCCCTGCTGAATAAATTCCAGTGGCTCGCTATTATTGTAGGATAAAATATAAACACCTCTCTTTGGCTTGGAAAACCCTTCACAAATTGGTCCCAACCCATCTTTTACATTACTTCTCTTCCTACACTCTGACCCAGCCAAACCGACCTTTTCTCTGTTACTTACACACAGCACTCTATTTCCTGTCTTGTTGCTTTGGCACTGGCTGTCCCCAAGGACAGCACTCCTTTTTCACCTCTGCTTTCTGCAAGACACAGCTCAAGTACTGTGTTCTAAATGAAGCCTTTCCTGATCTTCCCTCCTCAATAACCTTTTTGTTTGTATTTGTATTGCTTATATTTATTCTATATATGTTTATATGTGTATATGTTATCTTTCCTGATAGAACTTATTCTCCTGGAGAGTAAAAAAAAATGGTTTAATATTTTTGTCTTTGGAACCTGGTTCATAGCAGGCTCTTAATAAAAACTTGTGTTTTATTGGTAGTGTAAAAGGCCACAGAGTGATAAAAGAAAGTGACAACTGAGAAAAAAATCTATTGTATTTCACAAGAAGAAGTTCATTAACCTTTCATTGTGCAGTTTTGTAGAATTATAGGAATGGAAGACAAATCTCAAGGAATCAGCAGGGATGAGGTTTATGGTAAAGTGTTAAAAATATCATAGCCGAGAGGTAGAGTGACCATTTGAATTTTGGCTGTGAAAGGAAGGTAAGAAAAAGATTATAGTTAGAGGGGCCAGTAGGATCAAGTGGAGGTTTTTTAGGCTGGGTGTACCAAATCTCAGAATTCACCTGCAAAGCTGGTAAATGGGATCTCCCACCTCCAAGTGCTTTTAAACACATAATTCTATGAAATACCTCTCTTTTTTTCCCCATACTTTTTAGTATATCATTCACATTTTCTTGTTTTCTAGCCTTTTTTGGAGTTCTCCATATGGTAGTGATCACTCATTTGCTGTAATCTAAAGTTGGATTATTAGTAAAAGATTCTTTTACTTTAAAATGTTATATTTTCTTAATTCACTCATAATGAGAAAGAAAGATCACATGTTCTAGCAGGGTTGCTAGAGAAGCCTTGATTTGAACTTTTGTTAAAACTTTACATTTAGAAATTTTGCCTTTTCCCTAATCTTAGGTGGATGCTACAATTGATACAGAGCAGCTAAAGGCCAAAAAACATGAAATGACCCATAAAATTCAGGTAGTAAGGCAAAAGGATGCTGGGAGGATAATTGGAATGGTGGGATAGAATACAGTAGATAGAGGCCTTAGAGACCTTAGAGACAAGAAGACCAAGGTTCATGCCATTCCTCTGATGTACTAGTGTTGTGATCCTGGGTATGTCATTTAACATGTTAGTGCTCTTGGCATCTCAAACTATAAATTCCAGAGGGAGTCCCAACTTGCTTTGGTAAAGATAGTTTCTTTACCTGAGAGTTCCATATTTTTTTTTTCTTTTTTCTCTTTGCCTTTACCTTATGGTTTATTTAAAATCAGTTGGTCTAGACTGTAGCCATTATGAAAAGCAATTTCAAACTATATCAAAAATGTTGCTAAACCGTATATCATTTGACTACTTATTGATATCATTACTAAACCTACATGTCCCAAACAGATCAAAGAAAGAAGAAAAGGACTCATGGATATGAAAATATTTATAGTTGGGTCCTGATTAATGAAAACAATGAATCCCTTTAAGTGGTCACATGTATTTGAATTCATACCATTCAAAGTTATAATTATGTGAAATATAGTCATTAGTTCCAATGGAACTATACAGTGCAAATATGAATAGTGCAACTGCTTTGCTGTATTCATTTTTACACTTGTCAGGACTTGGCTGTATAGCAACTCTTTTTGAAATGTCATAGGAAAGTCATAGGTCCAGTCAGTTCCCATCCCTATGAGGTGTTTAGACTTCAGACAACTTCAGCCATCTAGGACATAGCCTTGAGGCATCATGGTACTGTTCTGCAGTCAGTTCTGCTATAACACTTGTTTAAAAAAAAGTGAACCAATTTCCAACAAAATTGATATATTAAGGAACAATTTGAATATAACATGAACTCTGTCAGCAAGAGGGAGAAAACTGCACCCAGCTGAACCTACCACAAAACACACAGAGATGTACACCTCAAACATCTACTAGCTACCTCAATTCAGGGTGTTATCTGGCAAGGTTAGGTAACAACACTTCACAATAACGATCTGTAACCCTTCTCACACCTACTTCCACAAGCAAACACTATGTATGTTTCACAATTATTATAGATCTTCTGATACAGTAGTAGCTGGGGCAGAAGAGGACATATTCAAACCCCCAAACTCCTCTACCCACTTTAACTCCCTTACTACCTGCCCCAGGAATTGCTGCCCACCAAGATCACCCTGTGGTTTAGCCATCAACTTCCCTAGACTGGGGCCAGGCTAAGCAGCAGGTTGATGCTACTGACATCATCACTAATTATTGTAGGAATTATGGTGTTCTTATTTAACATATATAAAACTGTGCTATTGTTTTCATTAGTTTCCTATCTTTTTTTTATGTGTCACTGACAAAGTTTTTGAGCATTGTGCCCTAACTCCATTTTCCCCGTAAGTCCTGTGATTTTTTATTGCTCAGTTTTTCATAGCACGGTGATTTTTAGGAACATATATGTTGAATTATAGCAGAACTGACTATATAGTGAAATGAGAGGTCAAGAGACCTGATTACTAATTCTCTGCCACTAAACAGATGTGTGACTTCTGGCAAGTCACTAATTTTCTCCAGATCTCAGTTTCCTTATCTATAAAATTAGGGAAATGAGCTAGTTTCTAATGTCTCTTTTAGCATTAATATTGATACAGTAATATCAGGAACATTCAAGAAAGACATTTGATCTCCAAGGAAAATAGTTGTCCCAAAGCCTATGTAGTTTACCTAGGACAGGTACGAATGACTCCTATGTTAGATTTTACTACCTTTAATTTTGTGTGTAAAATTAAGGTTACTATTTTAATAAGCATGTTTATCAGGATTCCATGATAACCTCATTTCCCCCTAGGTCATGGTGGTTTATAGATAAAGAACCATTGAGGTGGGGGAAGGGCAGCTTCTGGAAACTGTCCTGCTGAGAAGTGACAATTTATAGCAAGGGAGGAGACCATTAACAAGAGGTTGTATAAGATAATGGAAGATGATGGAAGTTGGAATCAAAAGATCATTGATTTAAATCCTTTTTTATATCGACAAACATTACTAAGCAGAGCTTACGTTGTACTGGACCCTTGCTGTATGGCAAATAGCCACTCTGAGCTCCACTTTTCTCACTTATAAAATAGAGATAATAATATTTACACTGCCTACCTCACAAAGTAGTTGTAGGCAAAATGCTTTGTATTTGAAACTTTGTGGAACTTACTTGCTAAAACTTGTTTTGTCATGGTGTGGCCTTGGAGAATCCAGCATCACATTCCGACCATAAAAAAGCATTGCAATTGGCTTTAGTGAAGGTGAAGTCTTATTAAATGCATAGCAGCCTAATATAATCATACTTACATGTCTCTAGAGGTTCCTGATCTATAAATGTGATCCATAATGCCATTTCACATCTCTTTTTCCATTGCCTAATCCCAAGTTTAATGAGTATAATACATATCTAAATTAAATGAGTATTGAATGAATTGACTGATCTTAATAATTCCTTGAAAAGAAATACCTTAGTATTATAATTAGCATAAAATTTTCTCTTTTAAGACATTTCCTAGGCATTTTGTTACTAGTCTAAAAGAGACCATAAATGTAATTATTAGGCTTAATTAGGGAAATTCCTGTTTTTCAAATACAAATATATGTCTTATCTTGAGAAAAATGAAAATAGAACCCAAAAAGGACAAGAATATTTATGAATTATATTTAACCAGATTAAACCGTATTTGACCAGTATTGCTAACTAAAATTCTATGGACAGATTGAAACTCTACACCATTCATAATTTATGAGCCTGAGTGACAGAGTGTGTGTATATATATATACACATATATATATATACATATATATATATACATATATATATATATATATGTAGATGAATAACAGTTCTGGACCTGTTAGCCATCTCCAGAGTAAGGGGAAAAGATAAGGGTACCCAGGACACTTGCATAATAACTTCAGAATTAAGTCATATGCTTACATTCTTGATCTTCTAAGTCATAGAATTTAGAGCTGAAACTTTATAGTCCAGCCCTTTCATTTTACACATGAAGAAACTGAGGCTCACAGAGTTTAAATGACTTGCTCAAAGTCAAATAGGTATAGTAAGTAGCAGACTCAGTTTATTTCATTAAGAAGAAATAAAATTTCTGAATTACGGAGTTTGTTGATATGGTGGCATTTTTTGGTGAACTAGTGATGGTTATTTTAATTCTTGTTAAGTCAATATCTTCAGTTAGTCTTGGTTATTTAATATCTGTGTTGCCTTGTAGCTAAGGGAACAGCTATCTCAGGAGAAGAATCTAAGGGAATCTCTAGAGGAATCCCAAGAAGCTATGCTGTGCAGAGTGCAGGATATGGAAACAACAGTTGAGTTGGAACGAGAACAGGTAGGTGAAAATCAGGATTCTTCTGTCCATTTTTAGGATGAAGTGAATCAGGAAGATTATAGTTTTTTTAAAAAAATTAATTTATTTTTTGTTTTGAACAATCACTTCCAAAAGCTTTTGAGTTTTAAATTTTCTCCCCCTCCCTCCCCAAGACAATGTGAAATCTGATATAAGCTCTACATGTACATTCCTTTTAAACATAGAAAATGTACTGTTTTTAGATTAGGCAAAGAAGAAGCAAAGCTATCACTCTTTGCAGATGATATGATGATATGCTTAGAGAATCCTGGAGAATCAAGTAAAAAACTACTTGAAATAATAACTTTAGCAAACTTGCAGGTTATAAAATAAACCCACATAGATCATTGGCTTTTCTGTATATTACCAACAAAGCCTAACAGCAAGAGATAGGAAGAGAAATTCCATTTAAAATTGTTGTTGACATTATAAAATATTCAGGAGTTTGCCTGCCGAAACAAACCCAGGAACTATATGAATACAATTACAAAACACTGTTCACACAAATAAAGGCAGATCTAAATAACTGGAAAAACATCAGTTGCTCATGAGTAGGCCGAGCTAATATAATAAAAATGACAATTCTACCTAAGTTAATTTACTTATTCAGTGCTATACCAATCAAACTACCAAAAATTATTTTATAGAGCTAGAAAAAATAATAACAGGATTCATCTGGAAGAACAAAAGGTCCAAATATCAAGGGAACTAATGAAAAGAAATGCAGGGGAAGGTGGCCTAGCTGTTCCAGATATGAAATTGTATTATAAAGCAGGAATCATCAAAAATACTTGGTACAGGCTAAGAAACAGAGTGGTGGATCAGTGGAATAGGTTAGTTATGCAAGACACAGTAGTCAGTGACTATAGTAATCTGCTATTTGATAAACCCAAAGACCCCAGTTTCTGGGGTAAGAACTCACTATTTGACAAAAAACTGTTGGAAAAACTAGAAAAGAGTATGGCAGAAACTAGGCATTGACCAAAATTTTACACTCTATACCAAAATAAAGTCAAAATGAGTACACAATTTAGATATAAAGACTGATACTATAAGGAAACGGGGAGAGCAAGGAATAGTTTACCTGTCAGATTTATGGAGAACAGAAGAATTTATGACCAAACAAGAGATAGACAATATTATGAAAAGCAAAATGGATAATTTTGATTACATTAAATTGAAAAGTTTTTGCATAAAGTTAATGCAGCCAAGATTAGGAGGGAAGCAGAAAACTGGGAAAGAATTTTTACAACCAGTGTTTCTTATAAGGGCCCCATTTCTAAAATATATAGAGAACTAAATCAAATTTATAAGAATACAAGTCATTCCCCAACTGATAAATGATCAAAGGATATGAATAGGCAATTTTCAAATGAAGAAATTAAAGCCATCTATAGTCACATTAAAAAAAAATGTTCTAAATCACTACTGATTAGAGAAATACGAATTAAAACAACTCCGAGGTACCACATCACACTTATCAGGTTGGCTAACATGACAAAAAAAGGAAAATGATAGATGTTGGATAAAATGTGGGAAAATTGGAACATTAATACATTGTTGGTGGAGTTGTGAACTGATCCAACCATTTAGGAGAACAATTTGGAACTATGCCCAAAGGGTTATAAAAATGTGCAATAACACTTCTACGGCTGTATCCCAAAGAGATAAAAAAAACCCGCATGTACAAAAGTATTTATAGCAGCCCTTTTGGTGGTAGCAAAGAATTGGAAATCAAGGGGATGCCCATCAGTTGGGGAGTGGTTGAACAAGTTGTGGTATATGAATGTAATGGTGTTATAAGAAATGATGAGCAGGCAGACTTCAGAAAAACCTGGAAAGACTTGTATGGACAGATGCTGAGTGAAATGAGCAGAACCAGGAGAACATGGTACACATTAACAGTCACGTTGTGTTATGACTAACTTTGATAGAACTAGCTCTACTCACCAATGCAGGGATCTAAGACATCTCCAGAAGTCTTTTAATGGAAAATGCTGTTCACATCCAGAGAAAGAACTATGGAGTTTAAATGCAAATCAAAGCATACTATTTGCTCTTTTTTTTCTTCTGTTTTGTTTTGTTCCTTCTTTCTTATGGTTCCTTCTATTGGTTCTAATTCTTCTTTACAACATGACTAATGTGAAAATATGTTTAATAGGAATGTATATGTAGAGTCCATATCAGATTGCATGCCATCTTGGGGATGGGGGAGGGGAGGAAGGGGGAGAAAATTTGATAAACAAAAGCTTATGGAAGTGAATTTTGAAAGCTAAAAATAAATTAATAAAAAATACTTAAAAAAAGAAAACGTACTCTTTTTGCCTGAATCCCTAGAAATGTTCATAATTTTACCCAGATTCAGTAATCATTCACTTTCCTTTAGTAATCCTCTGAAAACAATCTTAATCTGAACAGTTTTTTCTCTGACATAGTAAACAAAATGGAGACAACATGTTGTAATGGAAGAAATACCAAACACTTGAGTCAGAAGGCCTGGGTTTAAGTTCTGTATGTGCTCTTTACTGTTTCATGAACCTGTGTCTTTGAGCAAGTCACTTAACCTCTCCTAGGCCTGTAGAAAAGTTTCCTTATTTAAACAAACTTTAAAGTTTCTTCTAGTCTTAACATTATGCAAATATCTAATTATGTGCTTACTGCATAAAGTGAGGCAGATTGATAAATAAATAATATGAAATTACATTTACACTGCTGTTTTAAACTCTAATTAGACAAACAAGGTTTTTGTCTTTCTTAGTTTGAATGTGTACAAGGAAAGTAAATAAATAATATGAAATTACATTTACACTGCTGTTTTAAACTCTAATTAGACAAACAAGGGTTTTGTCTTTCTTAGTTTGAATGTGTACAAGGAAAGTAATGTAGCCATCATATCTAGAGGTCTTTTGTGGGGAATATTCAAGGCATTTGGTTATTTTACATGCTGCTTTCTATAATCATAGCATCTTTTTTTCCTGTTAACAAATGGTTATCCTTCAGAGTCATCCTGGTGTGGTAGTTAGAGTGGTAGGTATGGAACCCTTACCTACCCTTGGGTTTGAATCCCTCCTCAGACCCTTGTTAGCTGTGTGACTCTAGGCAAAATGCAGAATCACAGAATTTGACAGTTGAAAGGCAATCTCAACAACCATCTAATCCAATTCAGCATCAAAAAGGATCCCTACTATTACATACATTACTAGTGATCATACATTCTCTGCTTGAAGACTTCCAAAGAGGGAGAAGCCACTCCCTCTTGATGCAGATAATGTCATTTTTGGATAGCTATAATTGCTAGGTAGTTTTCCCTGACATCAAGCCTAAATTGCCTCTTTGCAAATTCCACCCATTGCTCTTGGTTTGGCCTATTGTGGTCAAACACAACAAGATCAATCCTTACTTGATGTGTCAGCCTTTCAAATTCTTGAAGATAACTATCTTGTCTCCCGTGGATCTTTTTTTATCTTCAACTAAATATCCCCATTTTCTTCAACCAACGTTCATATGTCATGGACTCAAGGCCCTTCCCCGTCCTCTGGACGTTCTCCAGTTATTTGATCAATGTCCTTCTTAAACTTAAACTTCCTAAACACAGTCCTGGAGATGAGGTCTGATGAGGCAGAGTACAGTGGTGCTGTCCCTTCATTGTTCCTGGAAGTTATGTTCCTCTTTCTGCAAACCAAGATAACCATTAATTTTTTTGGCTATCTCATTGTCAACTCATATTCACTTCACAATCCACTAAAATCTCCAGATCTTTTTCAGACAGACTTACATTTTACCATGTCTTGCCTATCTTATACATGTGAAGTTAATCATACCAAGTGCAAGGTTTTACACCTGTACCCACTGAATTTCATCTTATTAGATTCAGCCCAGTGCTCTAGCTTGTCAGTATCTGACTTGGTCACCCACTCTCAGTCGGTTTATAAGCAATTATTAAGCACTTGCAATGTGTCTGGCACAAGGGATACAAAAAAAGGCAAAAAACACAGCCATTGCTGTCAAGGAGATAAAGAGCTTTTTGCGATCTGCAAATTTGATGATTATACCATCTATGCCTTTATTCAAATCATCAGTTAAAAATCTTACACAGCACAAGTGAAGCATAGATCTCTGGGATATTCCAATAAAGATCTCCAAGGTTGGCATTGAACTATTAGCAACTACTCTTTGAGTCTGGCAATCTAAACCATTGTGAATCCATTTGATTATATTATCATCTAATCCTTATCTCTCCATTTTCTTTACCAGAATGGTATGAGATGCTTTATCCAAAGTTTTGATAAAAGGAAGATATATGATATCTGCAGCACTCCCTTCTTCTACCAGTTTAATATACCTGTCAAAATAGGAAATGAGATTAGTCTGGCATAATCTGTTCTTAATAAAAAACCATGCTACATCTCTGCAACTACTGCTTCCTTTTCTAAGTGTTCACCAACCCTCTCTCTGATATTTTCCAGAATTTTTCTAAGTGTTCTTAATAAAAAACCATGCTACATCTCTGCAACTACTGCTTCCTTTTCTAAGTGTTCACCAACCCTCTCTCTGATATTTTCCAGAATTTTTCTAAGAATCAAAGTCAAGCTCACTGGCCTATACTTTGGAAGCTCTGTTTTCCTTGCCTTTTTAGAAACTTGTAATAACATTTGCCTTTCTTCAATCTTAGCGCACTTCTTGTTTTCTGTAATCATTTAAATATCACTGACAAGGCTCTGCAATTGCATCTGCCATTTTTCTCCAGATGTTGTTCTCCAGATGTGACCTGAATTCATCAAAGGCAGCTAGGGTTCTCTTACTGTCTCCTTGCTTATCTCAGGTATCTCAGGTAAGTCATTTATGCTCTATCCTTTCCAGTGTAAAGATCATTCTCCTTTGCAGAGAAAATAGAAAAAAAATAAGAGTGAAGAATATCCGCCTTTTTTATGTTGGTAATTGTTAATGTCCTGTCCATCCCAAGCACAGATGCTATCCCTAATTTAATCCTTTTTTTTCTCAACATAGCCAGACAAACAAACCAAAAAACCAAAGCAAAACCCTTTTGCATTCCTTATCTTATCTCCATAGCCTCAGCTCATTCTGAGCTCTAGCATTTCTGGCATCATTTTTACAGAACCTTGCCACACTCTTATGTTCACTTACCTTCTGTTACCTGGCTTTGCTCCCATTTTCTGTATATTTATTTTTTAGATCTAAGTTGTTTGGTGAATTCCTTGTGCATCCACATCAGTGTCTTCAGACATATTTCATTTTCCTACCTCATTAGAAGTGATTCTCTTTGTTTTCAGATTTTTATTCTTGAACATTTTGTCTTTCTGCTGAGCTGACTTCCTCTCTAGCGTTTTAGTCCATGTCCATCTACCTATCTTTGCTCTGAACCTTTTAAAATCTGTTTCCCAAAAATTTAGAGTATTTATTAGACCCTGAAGTCATTTAAACTTTCTGGGCTTCAGCATCCTCAGCTTTAAAATGGGGAAAATAATAGTACTTAACTGAAATAATATATGAAAAGTACTTTGTAAATCTTAAAGCACTTATTATGATAGAACTAGAAAAAGAATTTTAATTCAGCAGTTTGATCTTGTGTCCTCAGACCATAGATTCAGAGCAGGAAGGGACCCCCTCATTTTACAAATGAGGAAACTGAGGTCCAAAGGAGTTAAAAGACTTGCCCAGGGTCACAAGTATCTGAAGCAAGATTCAAACTTGGGTCTCCCCTGACTCCAATTCTAGCACTAGCAATCCACTGTGTTACCTATATAACTGCGACCTAATAGGTCTTCACTTTTGTGAACCTTAGATTCTGTTCAAGTCTTTAGCTATTACATATCTGCACATTCCTTTTATTTTATTTCACAGAATTTAGAAGCTGGAAAGGACTTAATAGATCATCTTGTGTATCACCCTCATTTTGCAAATTAAGACATAAAGGTTTACAGAAGTCAAAATGACTAGCTCAAGGTCTTATTGCTAGTTATGGAGAAAGTCATGACTGCAGAGTGCTTGCAAAAGATGTTGGAGTTGAAATTTGCCTGCAATAGTTTAAATTTTTTTTTACATCATAAGAATGAGATTTTCTTATCTCAGGTAAAAGCCCTACAACAAGACTGCTTAACCCTGAGAAAAAGTATAGAGACCACCCAAGAACAGCTGCATCAGGAACAGCAACGAGCAGCACAGCTGGAGTCTGACTGCGCAAAGCTGAGGACCGAGCTAAGTATGAAAAGAAACTCTAGAGACCAAACTATCTTGTTAGTTCTGCACGGTGCCGTGGCTAAAGCTTGAATTGCTAAGATCTTTCAAAGTAAGGTCTTTGTGTTGAAGTAGGTAGATTGCTAAGGGCTTTTTTCTTTATAAAGGATCCTAAATTCTTGAAGAGGTCACTATTACCTGATTTTTTCATGGACCTGAAGTCTGTTGTCTCATTCCTTCTCATCCTTCTTCATCCTTCACTGTCATCTACATTCCATGTTAGTGTGCTATAAAATATGGCCATATCCGAGAACATATATGCATCATAGGGCACTGCTTCACCTCTAAGGTCACTCTGCAGTCAATCAACAAGTGCTTACTGATCGCCAACTGTATGCCTAGTATTGTAGAAGATATGACTTAGTTGTGGGTAGAGCTCGGATATGAATCTGTGGCTTTTAAAACCAAATAGTCTACTCCCTCTTTAGAAAGGACTTTTTTTATTTTCTTTATTTCACTGATAAATTGTATGACCTTGAAGATGTCAGTCCTTTTGAGCAAATAAAAATTTTTCTAAATTATTTAAAGTAAGCTAAACATTCCCTTTCAATTTATTTGTACTATTTATTTATTTAGCAACCTATTTCTTTCATATACTATAAAGATAAACTTTGGCCCCTCACCTGTCAGAATCCATATATACTCTACATTTATTCAGGATTAAGATTTAATATTATTGGGGATAGCATAATTTTAACTCTTGTACTTAATTATTTGCACGTGTTAGGAAAAAAATCTGTTCAGCTTTTTCAAGGTGTTTCCTTTAGAATCAGTGAAATGGATTTAATGAATGCTGATTTTTAGAATATCATCTTATTGGAACAAAACTAAAAGTATTTGTGGATTTTTCTCTCTCAAAAATGGTCATACCTCTCAGAAAAAGGTGGCATCCAGGAGAGACAGCATGATGTAATGGATAGAAAGCTAGTCTCAGGAAATAAGATAAGGTTTTAAAATTATCTTATGTTATTTGGTACCATTAGTAGTAGGCATCAAAAATAATATAAGATAGACACATAACACTAGCTGTGTGACCCTGGGTGAGTCACTTAACCCCATTGCCTAGCCAAAAAAAAAAAGAATATAAAATAATATAACAAGATTTTACTTCTAGAGTTCAGCCAAATTGCTGTTTAAAGTGAAGGATTTGTTTCTTCAGAATGTTTTCTGAAATTGTGCTAGTGAATAGACTATTTGACTGATAATTTAAAAATGTGGCTTGTAGAGCAAGCTCCCTTCTGTATAGGTTGTGTACCAGTTGGCAGCTTTCTGCTTCATTTCCAACCAATAAAATGTGACTGCAAATATCTGGCAAATTTTTATTTCAAAAGAATTTTTAGAAAGGAATTTTCAGAGGAAAAATGCTATATGATTCAAAAATACTATTGAAAATACATGAATTTTTTTGTTTTAGGATCCAAAGATGATGTCATTTCCCAGCTACTTGAAGATGGAAAGGCAAGTTGCAAAACGTTTAAAAAAAACGGGTATTTCTTCCCTTCACTAAGTAATTTTGATTTCTTTTTAGTCTTTGCTTTCAGTTCTGATGAATCTCCCAATTAATACTTCAGAAAATAGCCTGTTAAGTGTTAATAAGTGATTGAAATGCATTCAGGACTGTGGTCAAGTTAACAACCTGTGCATAAGTAATAGTTATTCTGATTTCAAAAAGGTGTATTTCCATTGTCTACTATTCCGTAAATCAGAACTTTATAACGAAATACAATAAATACTACAACCATTATGTCTCCCCATATATTAAGAAATGAGACTATTGATGAATACTTTTACCTAGAATTGTTGCCTAGCCTAATTAGGCCGTATCTGTCCTCTGTGAGAGAATTCTCTCCTGGGGTAATAGATGTAATTCTCCATCTGCAGGATTTACTTACTTGTTTCTACCTTCTTTTTAGGGATTTGAGAGTTTGTTTGTTTGTTTGTTTTTCCCTGTCCTATCTCAAAAAGAATCAGGGATTTTTATCATCAGACCAGATTATTTTACCCTTCAGCATTCAGTTGTTTCTCTTAAGGGAATAGTTTTGGCTTTTCCATTCTGCGTAGTGACTTAAATCTTATCTTTACTTATAAGCTTATTGGAAAGAGACCTTAGTTTCATTGGAATTTGGAATTTATAAGGTGAAAGGTTCTAAAGGTACATATTGCCAAATGTATAAGTTACATAAAAGTATGAAGCCTTATTTTTAGAGTTTAAAAATTATGGAGGATGATAAGCATTGGATATTCAGTTAAATCAAATGTAAAGTTAAATCCCCTCTAGTTGAGATTCTAAAATCTTTGCATAACTGAGTGAATTATTTTGATAAATAATTTAGGAATGGAGAGAAAATTGGGTCGTGGCTATCCATATTCTTCACAGAACTTTTTAAAGCATTAACCTAAGAAATTTTTTTGAGATAGTTCCTGAGCTAGGATACAGTAAGATTTAGCTAGTCCTGAAATGGTGGCAAAAGATTATGTCTTGGGGTAGCTAGGTGGTGCAGTGGATAAAGCACTGGCCTGTATTCAGGAGGACCTGAGTTCAAATCCAGCCTCAGACACATAATACTTACCAGCTGTGTGACCCTGGGCAAGTCACTTAACCCCATTGCCTAGCCAAAAAAAAAAAAGATTATGTCTTGTAATGATGGGAGCAACACGTAAAACGTGGGCTAAGAAGATGAGCAGGTGAACTTTAACAGACTCTTTACATGTCAAGAAAAAATTTATTTGCTTTTTCTCTTCTAGACTTTGTACTTGTCTTTTAACCAAGAGCACAAGGAGACTACACATTTAAAGTCTGAGATGGCATCCCTTCAGGAAACAGCAAAAAAAGTACAGGTAATTAGAATGGCTTTTCTTGAGATACTCTTGCTCATTTTCCCCTTTCATAGGATCATAGTGTCATAGATTTAGAGTGGGAAAAGTCCCTGGTAGTCATCTAGTCTAGCCTCCTCATTTTATAGATGAAGAATGCCAGTGACATTAAGTACTTGCTCAAGGTCACAGAAGTAGAAGTGGCAGGGCTTTCCTTGAGTTGTTAATTAGTTTTATTAAGTTAGAGAGCCCAAAGATTAGAATTCATTTAACTCTTAAATTAAGTTAAATTCCATTCATACTGATTATCCAAATTCAGTACTTCATCTAATTCCATAAAGACTTCTCAGAATTTACACAGTGCCCAGTTACTTTCTTTTTTAAAATTAGTTTTATTCTTTTGTTACTTTTTGAGTTCTGAACTGTCTCCCTCCCTCCCTTCCTACCCACACTAGAGAAGGCCACCATTTGACACAGATTTATAAATATGTACTCTGTGTACTTGTTTATCAGTTCTTTCTCTGGAGGTGGATAGCATCTTCCTTCATGGGTCCTTTATAGTTTATTTGATTACTTATGGTACTCAGAATAACTTGGCAACTCAGAATAACAGAATCTCCATCCTGAGCTCAGGCTACATCTCAGACCAGGTAGAGATGAGGGAGGAGGCCCCAGAACGACTGGGAGCTTCACGGTCACCTATAATGGACACTTTAGAAGAAGAAAACGTCGCGCTGGTCACTTCTTCCATTTGTGAGGCAGAATTTGATGCTGTAGTTGAATGTATAGAGGACGTTATCATGAATGGTGAGTTCCAGTTATTACAGAAAAACTTCATGGAAAAGTACTACCAAGAGTTTGAAGACACAGAAGAAAACAAACTCATCTCTATGCCAATTTTTAATGAATATATCTCTTTGGTTGAAAAATATGTTGAAGAACAGCTGCTAGAGGTTTCCTGGGTTTAACATGGCCACTTTCACTACAACATTACAACAGCATAAAGATGAAGTAGCAGGTGATATATTTGACATGCTGCTCACATTTACAGATTTCCTGGCCTTCAAAGAAATGTTTGCAGACTACAGAGCTGAAAAAGAAGGCCCAAGTCTGGACTTAAGCAGTGGTTTAATGGTAACATCATTATGCAAGTCACCTTCCATACCTGTTTCCCGGAATAATTTACAACATTAGTTCACATTCTTTGGATGAGAGTTAATCATCTTGGACATTCTAAACTTGAGGAGAAAAACCCAAAAGGAGTGTGTCAGCAGCACATGTTTCTCTTAAATCAAAACATTACAACTCATGTTTTCCATCCCAAACATGGACAAGTGTTCCACATACATCTTTGTGAGACAAGGCTGTCTTTGCTTGGTACACGTTTCAACCTAAGGAATCCTATTCCTATATGTTTTATGGTATCTTTTTTTGGACAGTGTCTGTTCATCTAGGGACAATTATTCAAACCCAGCTCATTTTCTTAGGGATTTATAAAGCTGATGTTTTAACTTTCTCTGTTAGGAATTATATTAGGAACTGTGTTAGGAATATTGGGGAACATAAGGTTTGGCTGGGAGTTTTTCCCCAAATTAAAATGTTTGCCCAGAAGTAAAATATATATAAACCACCTCATAGTCTTAGGTTTGTAAAAGCCTTGTGACCTCAGCATGACCTTGTGCTGGTCCTTATAGCAGCAGTCTCATTTTGTCTAGCCAAAGCACCCATTTAAGAATCTACTACGTTTTACAACTATATCTGAGAATCTATGTTTTAGTAGCAAATTTTAAGATCTTGTGAATTTGGTTGGGGCACTTTTGTGAATGTCCAGTTAGGAAGAAGGCTACATATTATATTGTAAAGCTTTTTTAGATTTAAAGTATTCTTGGGTGAAAAGTTACCCTACATTGTTACTCCATTTTGTCAGAAACCCTACAGATTACATGCTGAGGTCTGATTTATATTGGAAAGAAGGGACTGAAACATGTACTTTTTTCATAATGCTTCCATGATTAATGTAAATTTGTTAAATCCTATGCATCCAGGATCACTTTTTCCTGCAAAAAGAGTGTAAGTCCTAAACTTTATAATATTCTCTTTACCCTTAAAACCTGTCCTCCCAAGGTGGTATTCCACTGTTCCACATGAGTGAGTAAGGAGAGGAAGAAGTAGGCAAAAGCTTGAATTATCATCTCTGCTTTAGTCAGTTTAGGAAAATGTTCAGTTTCTCTAATAACTGTGAAGGTACTGATAAGAAAATGTGTATGTCAAAACACTTTGGAGAAAAGAAAAGATATAGGTGACTATCTGACTGATCCTTAAATTGAAAACAAGACTATTGAATTTTAATTTTAAGATATGGACTGAATATCTTTTAAAAAATGTATATATGTATATGTTTATATACAAGTATGTCATGTATTGAGAACATGGGTTGGGTGTTGTTTTTTTTTTACTGTAAATGTAATGACACACTTTGGCAGAACATCAGATACTCAAATATTAAAGATTATTCTTTCCTTAAAAAAAAGGAAAGAAAGAAAGATGGGTATCAAAGGCAACACGAGGTTGAATACAAACTCATTTCTAATACAATGGTGGATGATTATGAACAATATCATTTCATGAAGAAGAAAAAGGCAGGGAAGGGTAAAATCCAGTTTAAAGAAAACTTGAGTGGGGCAGCTAGGTGGCGCAGTGGATAGAACACTGGCCCTGGAGTCAGGAGGACCTGAGTTCAAATCCAGCCTCAGACACTTGACACTTAATAGCTGTGTGACCCTGGGCAAGTCACTTAACCCCACTGCCTAGCCAAAAAAAAAAAAAGAAAAGAAAGCTTGGTAAGATATCCAACTAAATTTAGTCATCCCAAGAGAATTCAAGGATATAAATGAAAGATCTACAAGTAGAAGGGAAAAGATTTGCAGAAAAAACATTTTAACAAGCTTTTTTCTATCAAGAGTAGTTGGACCACTAAATTTGTACCCTAAAATGACATCCCTAGATATGTTTATAAAAAAGAAACAACACTAAAGAGAACAAAAAAAAGTGTAAAAGCAGTTGGACTTAATTTTGTGTATATATATATATATATACACACACACACACACACACATACATATATATACACACACATACATATATATACATATATACATGCATACACACACATATATGTATACTTATACATATATGTAGATGTGTGTGTGTGTCTGTGTGTGTGATCTATGCTGGAGGTGAAACAATTCTGAAGCCATTGAGGGACTAATGTATAAAGTATCTGGAGGATGGGAAAAACGACAGAGGTATGTGGGGGAATCTTATACTTTGTTAATACTGAAAAAGATGACCAAGAGAAGGTTAACTACTAATCTATATGCCTACTCTTACAGCTATACAAAATTTTTAGAAGAGGAATACATACAAAAATTAATGAGGCTATCATTAGGGATAAGTAGGCTTTTACAAGTGACGTTCAACAGCGGACCAAATCTTTACTATGTCAAAATTAACTGAAAGATTTAGAGAGTATAAGATCCCTTTGTCCTTATTTGATGATTATGAAAAGCTATTTGTTTTGGCAGAACAAAGCACCACCTTACAGGTTTTTCTTTAACAATATCTCCCACCTATACATCAAGATCATTTAGAATTCCTTGAAAGATGTAATAGTATAAATAACCTTGTAAATACTATAAATATTATAAGGTAAAAATCAGATATAAAATGAGATATATGCTTTGTGAAAAGCATTTACTACTTTTATTGAAGAAAATCACTGCAGAATCGAGTTTGAAGAGGGATTTCCTATAAATGGTGAAGGCCTCCAAATGCTCCTGTTTGCAGATGACATTATGCTGATGGTAACAAGCCCCAGGACATTGCAAAGCCTGCTGGAAGTGATCTGCAGTCATTCTAAGGAATCTGGCCAATCTGTCTATACAGGAAAAACCAAATGGATGAATGTCTGTTGAACATATTTTAACATGCATTTGGATGGACACCCTGTAAAGCTATTCTAGCAGTATGTATTATGTGATTCAAACAGTATAGATGGACAGTGAGTTGAGTTCGGAATTCAAGAGGAGCAGGAGAGTAATTTGGATAGCTTTGGAGAAATTTCAAAGGTCTTTTACTGACCCCAAGCCCATCTTTCCAATGATCATATATTACTGGTGTTTCTATAAGGCAGTGAAACCTGAAATATCACTGCCTCTAAAAAACTAAAAATGTACATCACACAGATGATTATGGAAAGGTACGTGGTAGATGCGCAAAAGCTGTATTGTAATATCTAGGTTCTCAGAAGAACAGGAGTAAAAAGAACATTATCAAGAAACTGCATGATAAGAAGATGGGTTGTTCACTTGGCAAGAGCTGACAGTAAGTAGACAGCAAGAGTACTCCCCTGGTGCTGAGGTAATAACAGGAAAAAGTGAGGAAGCTTTCCAGAATGTTGTATGGATCACCTGTATTGAATTTTGGGAAGGAAATGGAAAGAGTCACTTAGAATTGGCAAACATGGATTGGTTGCAGTCTGCATTATTGAAGAGAACTTCTGAATCATTAAGATCAAAATCCATTTGAGTATTTTAAGTAATTTTTTGATGATGTGTTTTACTTTTTTCTCTGAATTGTCTATTTAAAAGTATTGGTTTATTTTTGTATTGGTTTATCCACCATTTATATTGTTCATTTATATATTTGCAGCTGGGCATCTGTTACCTTTAAATTTTCTAATTTGTTAGAACATGCTATGTTGAATTCTTAGTTATGTCTTTTGTTATTTTTTTCATTTGTGAGGGTTTTCATTATCCTTTTTTATTACTAAATTTACTAGTAGTTTATGTTTATTTCGTTAGTCTTAAAAACTTTTAATTTTGTCAACTAAATTATCCTTTAATTTTCTATTTATATCTGTACTTGCCTTTATACTCTTTTTTTCTGTTTTGTTTTTAAACTTTCCTTAGGATCATTTATTGCTTTATTCTTTTTCTTGTGCCTTTAGGTGCAATCCTATTATCTTATTTTCTTCTTTTGTTAATGTAAGCACTTAGTAATATAAATTCATCTCCAAGAAAAATTTTTGGCTGCATCCCATACATTTTGACGTGATATTATTGTTGTTGTCTTTTAAGGATTCTGTTATTTTTCTGATTTCTTTTAATGTAATCATGTTAATAGATTGTTTTTCAGTTTTCGTGTAGGTTTTTAAATTTTATTATTATTTTTATTGCCGGTGTTTTTCCATGTGAATTTTTATGACTTAATTTTATGAAATAACTGATTAGTATTTTGATAGGAATTCCATTAAATATATAAAACAATTTGGAATTATTGACATTTTTTACTGTATTTGTACAACATAACCATGAACAGGGGATGACCTTCCATTTCTTTGTTCAGCTCTATCTTTATTATCTGTATGTTATTATGATGTTGATTTTGTATAGTTCTTACCTGTCCGAATAAGTGAACGCCCCTACATTTGGTTATGTTTTACCATATTGTGTTCTGTTTCTCTATCAGGTTTTTTTTTTCTGATTCCTGCTATTAATATAGCTAAATATAGGTCATTTTGTAGGCTTATCGTATGCCTGGCTACTTTGTCAAATTCATATATATTTTTTGATTAAATTGGATTTTCTAAATATACAATCATATTATCTGTAAATAGAGATGTTTTAATTTATTCACAGCTAGAGATTCTTCTTTTATTTACTTTTTCATGCCTGATTATTATTTCTAACATATTGAATAGGAGTGATAAAAGTAGATAGTCCCACTTTACATGTCTTCAATAGGAATGGTCATATATATATATTATATATATATACACATATATGTATTTTCTGATGAATGTACTAGACTGTGGTTTCAAATATATTTGCTTTTATAATGTAGTTATTTTCTTAACTAATTTTCCATTTCATCCTTATTGTCTGCAATTTTGGTTTCACCTAATAATATTTAGTGTTGGCTGTTTCAGCTGATCTTTTCAGGTTTTCCGTTCTCTATATTGTCATTTTTTTCATTATTTCCTATAAATCTGCTGTTAGTATCTTTTACTTCTATTTTTAGTTCCATTTTTCCCTCTGTTTTAAGAAGACAAAGGGAAAATGTTGTTAAAAATTGATTTGTTTCATTCTTTTGCTTGTTACTATACTGCCTGCTATTTTTTTCCACTGTCTCTTCTCATCTAACTTTCTTCTTTGCTCAAACCAATTCTCTAGTGATATGGTCATTTTCCAAATCTTTGCTAGCAATAAATGCTTGAAGACTGCCTAGTATCAAAAATAAATGTTTTAAAAGGTAATAAAAGAAAGTTCCCTGTCTTTTCTCAGAATAAATTTTAAAATGTGCAAAAATAAAAGTATGACAGTCTGCATGTAGATTGTTCTGTATTGCCAGTGTATTTTTTTTCTTAAACGCACGAATGTTGTGGAATACAGTTACATTTTGCTTTTTTTAATACAGGTAAAAAAATTTTCAGTGGTAAAGGATGTTAGAAATTCAGTCCTATGAGACAATTCTGGATGCTTCTCACAAAATTATGGGAACAGATTTCAGATATCCTAAAAGTTACTGCATTTATCATCAGTAAAACTGATTTATTTCATCTCAGAATTTTGTTGCAGAAGCCTTGCTGGTATGGACAGATGTTTAGAACAATGCAGAAGAAAATATTAATCAATTGTGGAAAGCTTCAGATTGGTCCAGTGAATAATGGATGGGATCTTATTTAAATGTGGGTTCACTCAGGGGTTTTTCAGTAAACATTTAACATATTTTGTAAAACTTTAGAACAAACAAATTAAAAAATTAAACCCTTGAGTTATCTAAGGGAATGAATTATTAGGTGTTAAATAGACCTATTAAGTGCTAAATACGTATCTTTTTGCTTAGATGTTAAATGATCGATTGAACAAACAGTGTTCAGACCTGAATAACAAGCTTCAGACTGTTACTATGGAGAATGTCAGACTCATTGCAGATCATCAAGCTTTTCTAAAGGTATTCAATTAACACTAAACTACTTATCTAATACAAGCATGAAACCATAGTAATTCAAGGATGGGGTAAGATATTTGAACAGGTAGAATGTATGATAAAGCAAAGACTATAAAAATATAAAAATGAATTTAAAAAAAATTAATTGTAACAGCTCATTTTCTAGACAGTGATTTCATTTTCTTTTGCACCAGAACTTATACTTCTGGTGCTTTATAAAATTATATTACCTTAGAAGAATAATTATTCTCCTATTACTTAAGGATTGCTCAGAAATATACCTCATGATTACATATGGTTAGAGCACTTTATCTGAAAAAGATCAGCAATATAAGGTGGCAGTCAAAAAAGTTAATAAGGTCTTAGGCTGCAACCTAAAAATAAGGAGCTGATAGTCCCACTTTACTTTGCCCCTGGTTAAATCACCTTCACAGGATTGTGTTTATAAAGAAGACAATTTATAAGGGATATTGATGAGATTGATACTATCCCCAGAGGAGCAACCAGGATTGTGAATCTGTATAAGTTATTATACTTTGTCCTTTCCCATCTATATATCTTTGTTTCTGGCCTTCCCTCCACATGAAATATCTCTTTCCAGAAAATTCCATCAATTAGAATTATGACAGGGAAATGAAATGCCTTAGACAGAAGTGGTTCTCTTTTTATTGGAGTTCTCTGAACAGAATCTGGATGATTACTTAACAGAGTGATTGACTTATCCACTTATCCTTATGCTAAGGATTCCTTTCTAGGTATGAGATCAATTATATAATTCCAACCCTAAAAATCTCTGATTCTGTGAATACAGTATACCTCTTTTATACACTGTAGCAATAGGTTCTACCATTTTTAAGTTTCTTAATTTCTGTGGTGGGTCATTTCTTCAAAGTTTTATTCATGTATTCTATCATATTCAATATTTATATGATCCACTTCAGTACTTCTATATATTTATGATCTTATCAATGCGAGCACTCTTTCCACTAGTGCAGATCACACCATTTCTTTCCAAGGCATTCCATTCAACTTTGTTATAGTTCTAATGGCTTAGGAAGTTTTTGCTAACATTAAGCCTCAATTAGCCCCTGCAGCTTCTAAACATTGCTCCTACTTTGGCCCTCAGGGATCAAATAGGATAAGCTAATCCGGGGGTGGGAAACCTGCAGCCTCGAGGCCACATGTGGCCCTTTAGGTCATCAAGTTTGGCCCTTTGACTGAAAGGACCTAGAGGGCCACATGTGGCCTTGAGGCTGCACATTCCCCACCACTGGAATCCCTTTTCCATATTACAACCCGTCACACTGAGTCTTCAGGCTAAACATCACCAGCTCCTCAAAATGATCCTCATATGACATAGACTGAAGGCCCTTCACAATCCTGGTTGCTCCTCTGGGGATAGTATCAATCTCATCAATATCCTTTATAAATTGTCTTCTTTATAAACATGATCCTCTGAAGGTGATTTAACCAGGGGCAAAGTAAAGTGGGACTGTCAGCTCCTTATTTTTTGGTTGCGGCCTAAGATCTTACTAACTTTTTTGACTGCCACCTCCTATTGCTGATCTTTTTCAGATAAAGTACTCTAACCATGCCCCCTCCCATGTTGTACTTGTGAAGTCAATATTTTTAATGTATATCAAATTTTACATTTTTTCCTATGGAAGTTCATCTCATCAGATTCAACCCAATGCTTTAGCATCTCAAGATCTTTTTGGATCCTAAGTCTATCTTTTTGTATGTTGTCTAATCCTTCTAGCTTAGTATCATATGAACATTTGATAAGCATGCCATCTATGCCTTTATGCAGAACACTCACAAAAATGTTCAGCAACATAGAGTAGATTCAAAAGTATAAATCCTTGGTGTACATTCTCCTGGAGGCTTCCTGCAAAATTGTAGTTGAACTGTTCACAAGATTCTTTGAGTTGAGTCATTCAGCCAGTTCTAAATTCATCTAGCTGTATTATCTTATGGCCCACATCTCTTATCTTTTCCATGAGACCATGAGCTACTTTATCAAATGCTTTAATAAAATCAAAGTAAGCCATATGTACAGCATTCCCCTGACCTACCAGTTTAGGAACTCAGCCAAAAAATAGGTTATTCTGGCACGACCTGTTCTTGATGAAGCAGTGCTAGCTCTTTATAATCTACTTTTCCTTTAAAAAATGTTCACCAACCATCACTTCCACACTCCATTCTAGGATTTTCTAAGCAATATAAGTCAAATTCACTGGCTTATAGTTTTTAGTTTATCTATTTCCTTGTTTTGAAAATCAGGACGTTTCTTTTGGGGAACAATATTGTTGGTTTATTTTTAAATGTATTTGTATAAAGCAAGGATAGAGAATAGAGACTGGAGCTATTATTTTATTGGTATATGGAACTCCCAAGTGAGTGAACTCCTTCTACCAAAGCAGGTTCCCTACAACTTAGAGTCTTAGAGAATTGCCGAGAGCAGTGGTATTGACTCAAATAGAAAAAGGGCCAAAAACCATACAAAACGACCTGCAAGGTCACATATTGGCTCAGAAAACAACATATTAACATCTATATTTTATTGTATTTTTTATTTTGTTAAATATTTGCCAACTACATTTTATTCCGATTTGAGCACTACTGGAGAGTGTTATGGGCCTGTTGGCTGTGTTTTTACTACTTCTGGTCTACAGCACTAAGAGCCCAAGTGACTTGTCTAGTAACGCAGCTGGTATGTGTCAGACACATGACTGAATCTGGATCTTCCTGGTCTCAAAGCTAGTTATCCACTTTACTATGTTGTCTCTCAGTGCATAAAGCAAATACTTGTGAATTTACAAACAATAGTAATTTGAAGATTGGGGCTGTTTTCCAAAAGTGAGTTTTGAGGTAGAGGATCCTGAAAGTAAATACTGCCACCTTTTCTGTTGTAACTATCTGTGATCATCGTATGAGATGTTATTAATTGAAGTAATATGCTTTACAAAATGTGATGTTGGTAATGGATTTAGAATAGAACCATGATGGCAGTAAGGAAGACATTATATAAAGAAGAGTTCTAGCTGACACCGGTGGGGATGTAAAACTCAGGGTGGGGAATAAGTTATGAACTTAAAATGATATTCTGTAAAACAAGATTCTACTTATATTCATTTTTCTACCGGCTCATTTCTAAAAGTTCAGGGTCTTTGAATTATTTTAGTTGGCTTCCTATCAAGTAATCCTTTTTTATTATCTAAGTTAATTGTCATGTCCCAGGCAGAGCAAGAAAAAGTGACACAAAAGTTGCAGGAGCAAGATTTAATGTTGGATGCTACCAGGACCAGTATTGCAAAAGAACTACAAAATGTTCAGAATGAAAGAACCCAACTTCAAAAATGCCTGTGAGTTAGTTTCAACTTTTTTGCTTTTCTTTTTTTTTAAGAACATTGTTCTATTCAGCCATACTTCTTTTTAACAAACAACAAGAAGAAGATACCAAATAATGTCATTGTAATATTTTCATTGCTGTCCTCAGGAAGTGAACATGTTCTAAAGTATCTTGCATTTAACATTTCTGTTAAAGCAGAAATCTCACCAGCTTGTTCCATGTTGACTTGTTATACCCCCGTAGTGATGCCTTACACCTTGAACACAGCAAATGTAAACAAAAAGCAAAGGAAGTGGAAAAGAGAACAACAACACAAAAAGAGCTACAAGAGTATACTATTGTTAGATTGCGAGGCGAACTAGAAGTAGCACTAAAAGAAAGAAAATCTCTATTGAAGGGAAGAGAAAATCTACACAAAGAGGTAGAAGCGGATTTTAGCTTTTAATGGTGACATTTTTCTTTTAAAATTACATTTAAAAAGCAAGTTACTAAATACAGTTTGACTGACTGGTTCATTGTACTAATTGTTTTTAGTAAAATAAATTTGAAGAAATTTGAATTTGAGAAATATTTGCAGATATCCATATATGTTTGATTTATTTGCATTTTCAGCACCTAGAAAATGCCTAGGCATATAAATATCGATTGATCAATTTGTTGATCCATATGCAAAAATGATCAGTGTTAACAGTGGTTCATACATCCTATACTGTATGTTAGTTAAAACAACTGGTTTAAAAAAAATGATTGGCCCTAAAGTGAATAGGGCAGTGGAGATTAAGGGAGAATTGTTATATCTTCCAAATTAGTCAAGTCAATAGTAAATAAACATTTATTAAGCACCTAGTATATGCCAGGCACTGTGCAAAGTGCTGGGTACACAAATGAAAAAAAGAAATATGGACATTGCCCTTAAAGAGTTCATAATCTAATGGGGGAAGACAACACAGAAAAGACTGAAGAACCAGGAAAGGTGAGGTAGAGAAGGAAGGTACCTAGTGGAGGGGCAAAGTGGAGAAGTCCCAGAGTAGTATAGCCAGCTGAGAAATGAGAAGATACTGACCTGAACTCCTTCCTTAAAGGGAGGTTTTAGAGCACATTGTTCCACCCTCCCATCAGAGGGATAAAGGGTAGTGATAAGTTAGTACACCAAAGCTGATGAGATCTTGCGAGATGTTGAGGTTTTCCCAGGAATGACCTTCCTGAGGTATGGTGGAGAAGTCAGAGAAGTTAGGAAGAAACCTGTATAATCCGATACACAGATATATGCTTCTAATGTCATGGCTGGTTTATGAAACCTGCTCTGCCTCAGAAATTCTCTTCTTGGCCTCTTTCTGAAAGGATGTACTATTTTGGCAGTGTAGGAATAATTTGATGTATAGGTTGTTTCTAATAGCTTGTCAGCATCTTTTAAAAATTATCCATTCTGTTTTTCTTGGACAGTTAAAGAAAACAGAGAGTGACAGAACACAAGAAAAAAGCAAACTTGAAATGGAATTAAAGAAAAACAAGGTATTATTGATCCTTATTATTCATCAGTGATTGTTATTTTCCTTACATGTTGGTGTCTAATGAACGCTCTTATCTTTGAAGAGTTATAATCATAAAATTGTAGGCTTAGAGCTGGAGGCAACCATATAGGACCATAGAAATAGAGCATGAAAGAACCTCGGAAGCCAAACACTCCATAAACCCATTCATTTTATAGATGGGGAAGAGGTAAAATTATTTGCCCTAAGTTATGAAGAAAAATGGAAACGTGAGATTGGCTAAACTGCAGACACTAAAGGTGTGTGTGTATATGTGTATAGGTGTGTACATATATATGTATGTATATGTGTATGCATATCATTGCTTTTGAAACAAGTATGGGGAACTTACCAATTCTATCCCTTCTACCAGAATGACCCTTACAGGACCTGTAAAAGCCAGAACTAACAGCACCCAGTTATTTTTTTGTGAGAGACAGTATTAGTTTGCCATCTGTACATTTTTGCAACTGTCATTTATCTATAAAGATACCTTTTTCTGAGTCTTATATTAGGCAACTTATGCAAACCTCTGGCTAGAAACACACACACACAAGAGCATGTGTATACATACATACATACATACATACATATACACATACACATACTTAAAATGTAAATGGCTTCCAAATTTATGAATGGAGATAAGATTAACTATCTCCATCTTACTATCTGCCTTCTGTTATAGGGCTGTCAACTTATGACCTAAAAGGTGAAGCTAGCCCAGTAAAGATCAGCTGTAGATAGATCCTGCCTTGTAGATATGGTCTGGCTTCTAATCAGGTACCTCTTCTGCTGTAAGAACAGGGATTAGGATTCACGTTCCTTGAGTCAGGATCCAAAAAAATCTTGACACAGAAAAAGCATTGGGCTGAATCTAACAAGATGTAATTCAAGAGGAATAAATTAAAATGTGATACACAGAAATTCAGCCTCGCAAGTACAAGATGTAGAAAGGTATGATTAAACAACATTTTGTCTTAAAAAAAAGCTTGGGATTTAAGCAGATTGCAGCCCAATATGAATCAGCAATGTGTAGTAGCAGTCAAAAACACTAATGATTTGTGAACCAGGTGGGGACCCAGTTACCATTGGACTTGGAATTTTTCTTCTTGGATGACTTTTATCTTATCTCTCTATCTACATATATATATGTATATATCTATATGTGTATATATGTATTATATATTTATGCATATGTACATATATATAAAATTATCCATTTAACTTTAAACAACTACAAAACCATTTAAGTATACATTTATAACAATTTACATTTAAAAATCAATGTTATATACAGTATGTCCATAGCAAGTTATTAATTACTCCTTCTGTATACTCTCCTGTTATTTTTCTATGTTAATTCATCTCTGTATATCTATACATTTTTATTTTTGTTTTGTTATAATTTGTATATGTACTAAAGTTCTGCTTCCTTTAATTCAATTACTTCTTATAAGTTTTTCTAAATTTTTTGTCATGCTTCTTTTTAATGGTATTGGAGAATTCTACTAAATTGGTATCACACAGGTTTTTCAACCATTCACCACCTTGGATTGCTTCCAGTTCTTTGCAATTACAATTATTGCCGCCATATACATTTTAACAAATAATTTGGGGGGGGTAGGCAATGGGGTTAAGTGACTTGCCCAGGGTCACACAGCTAGTAATGTGTCTGAGGTCGAATTTGAACACAGGTCCTCCTGAATCCAGGGCCACTGCACCACCTAGCTGCCCTAACATATAATTTTTTTCACTGATAACATCGCTTTAAGAATGTGTTCCTAAAATATGATTATTAGGTCAAAAAGTATTTTTGTGTTTTGTTGTCCCCTAATAGATTGCTTTCCACAAAGAATCTACCAATTTATAATTCCATTAAGAGTAAAAAAAGTATATCCATTTGTTCACAATCCTGACACTGATGAGTTTTGTCACTTTTAGTTATTTTTTATTTATATGAGTATGAAATGGTACCTCAGAGTTTATTAAAAATAGATAAGCATATTCTCACTCTCCCTGACATGGTTTTCTCACTTTCAAATATCTAGTTTGAGAAGAGAAAAGTTCCTGCCTCTGAAGCTTGTGACAAAATTTTGCCAACCTCTATACAATCCCATTTAAGCTATCAAAATTTAAGATGGTAACTATTATTAACTATGAACTTCTTTCTAAACACCGTCAACTCTTTTTAGTACTAGGACATAGAATGCTAAATGGTAGATGTAGTAGTATCAAAGACTGCCTCTGTGAATATACTGTAGGTTTCAGCATAGAATTATGATTGTGCCTATGGGGTTCCTTAACAGAGGTTAAGCTAAAAACTTTTAAAGTTTGGTTTTAACAACATAGCATATTTTCAAAGAACTTTACCTTGACCAATTTTCATTCAGTCTGCTTGGTGTGCAAGACATCCATTAAATTGTCATAGACTGTTCTGAAAACTGAATAGCCAGAGAAGAACATGGTCTCACTCTCCTAAACCTTTCTTCTGTCACACATCTCTGGTATGCTTATAAACTGCATGAAGTTCTAGTTTTAAACTAACTGCTAAAACTCTCTGGCAAGCTTACTGATGCAGTATTATAGTTGCACCTTCTTTATTCTGAATAGGCCTTCTGGGTTAATTTTTATAAATTAGCTTTTAAAAAAAGACTCATTGCTACTGGTCCATGTTCCCTGACCTTCTTAGCCCACCTGCCGCTTGACCACAGCAGACTCTTTGTCTGAAAACCTTATGTAAACCTGGGCTGTGTCTCTCTGCATTTAGCTAAAAAGCATATCCTACTTCTTCTCCCAGCTACCGCCTGGAATGCTGCCTTGTGAGACCATGGAGCCAAAGAAGGCCACAAGTGAATTGCTATTCTGTTCATAGTTCCTATACTGTACTTGTCCATGAGTATCAATAGATCATAACCCAGAGTCGTATTGCTTCATGCCATTCACAGAGTTCTATCCTTAATTCGCATGATGAAACAATCCAAGATAAACTCTGACAAGTTATACTCCAACTATAATTTCCATAATTCTGTTACTTTCTATAATTTGGACATATGCTGCTACAATTATATTTAAATTTAACTTAAGCAAATATATGCTAAGTGCTACTATTTGTACACTTTGCTGTGTTTCTCCAGATTGGCTCTTCAGACCTTCAGTATTAGGGATAAGTGATCAAGTAGTTAAATGACTTCCATTTTCACTAAGACTTGGAATAAGAAAAAGGAGATAGTGTTCTTAACTCTGGAATGACTACTTTGTTTCTCTTTTGTTTTTAAAGGAGGAAATGAGTGCCTTAATTGGTACCCTACAGGCCCTAGAGAAGGAGAATAGGCAGTTGATGGATAGGATGACAACAATGGAACACCAAAAAGTAGTCTCTGAAAACCATGAGGTAGGTATTAAAAAACTAGTGTAATCTAGTAATTAGTAGGCATGCTGTATGTAATGATTTTTTTCTGCTTTTACTGTAAGTTAGCAAGAAAGCTAAATACAACAGAGGTTCCTCATAATATAAAAATAATTGAAACATGAAAATTAAGATTTAGGTTAGTTCTATAGCCAACTATCAATTATTTGAATCAATGAAAGAAAGTAATGATGATAGATAATCCACAATCTGGAAAAAAATATTTCTATTGTATTTACTTGGGTATTTTTTTCCTCTCTGTCTCCACTTTCCACAGTTTTGAATGAAGTTATTTTTTCTTTATATAATTTTCCCCCATCTAAATGTTAGAAGCAGAAGTGTTAAATCTACAAAGGTTTGATAACAATTAAACTTAATTAGCCGTCCCAAAGGATACATATGAGAAGACACTCCTACCTACTCTTCTGCAGAAATGAGAAGTGGATTAGTGTGGAACATTGAACATGTTTTCAGATTTCTCTATGTGTTGATCTTCTGTTGATTTTTTCCTCTTTTTGCATTAAAATATTAAGTGTCATATAGGATAGACCTCTGAGAAAAGGAAGGAGAAATGCCAGTGGAAGTTTCAATAAAAAATTATATAAAATACTTTTTAGCATAAAAGACATGGGAGAGTACATTTCCACTTAGTCTTTTGTGACATATGCTCAAGTTTTGTCAAATACTAGGTTTGAAGTATGGTTTTCTAAGGCTACTAAAGCAGTGCTTTCTTTTGTGACTAGTTGAGTATCTGAAAATATTTTTATTTTTATAGCAAAGGCAAGTTTTTAAAAAGAATTATATGTCCTTTGTGAAGCAGTTATTTTAAACCTTGTCACAACCTGCTTTTGACTTCATATACAAGGAGTCTTCTGTTTAATTAGCCAAGAAAAGTGATCTTCATGCTAGAGGAAGTGGAACAAAAATAAGTGGCAGCCAGTTGAGACACAAGATCAATGGGGAGAGAGAGACAGTAAGAGAGTAATTCACTGCCCTTGACGACTTCAAGTTATCTGGCCCAAATGATTTAAATCCTTAGATTCCAAAAGACCTGACAGACATAATTGCTGAGCAACTGCCAATAATTCTTGAAAAATTGTGGAGAATGATAAAGATGCTTTAAGACTAGGTAAGGGCAAGTGTCCAAATTTTCAAATAGAACCTACAAACTCCAAACCAATAAGCCTGACTTTTCTCTGTTTGGCAAAATTATAAAATGTGTTCTCAAAGGGATAGAAAAGGATTTAGTGATTCCAAAGAGCCATCACAGTTTAATCAAAACAGGTCGTGCCAAACTAGTCTATTTCTTTTTCTGACAAATTTACCAGATTGGTAGATTGGGGATATTGTATATTTTTTATTGTTCAGTCATGTTTTTGCCAGGAAAACCCCAAATGGGGTCATGAAGATTCAGACACAACCGAACAACAACAAAATTGGAGATAATCTTAGAGGAAAGGCACTAGCACTGAGGGACACTGGGGAAGACTTCTTGCAGATGTGAGATTTTAACTGAGACTTGAAGTAATTGAGGGAAGTGAAGGGGTAGAGATAAGGAAGAAGAACATTCCAAGCATGGAGCATAGCCAGTAAAAATGCATGAAATCAAGAGATAAAGTTTCTTGTGCAAGAAATAGCAAGTCCATGGTCACTGTCAGAGTCTGTTGTATTTGTATTGTATTGTATCTATCTTCTGGCCTGACAAGACACAATTTTATTGTTTTTAAATCTTGACATAATTGTTATTCCATAAAATAATATAGAAAATGAAGAAAGCAGAGACTAAGGAATTATATACCTAGTAACCACAACAATGTAAGTAAAGAAAACAAAATTAAAAGTCAACAAAACTCAAGTCAAATACAACAGACAACATTGATACCAAGGTATAAAGTTAAATTACACATTCTTGTATTATCAGTTGGCAAACTACAAAAATGGATCAAAGTATCACAAATTCAGAGCTAGAAGGGACCTTAAAGGCAATCTAGTGTAATCATTTCATTTTACAGACCAAAAAAATTAAGTCCAGAGAGGTGACTTGCCCAAAATCATGGAACAGAAAATCAGAGCCAGAATAGAATGTAATAAGGTCCTCTGACTACAAAACCAGCTTTCATTTCTTTGTACTACAATTTCTCCTATGTGGAAAAAATGGCATACACTTTCAATACCATTCACTTTATTATGTAGTTTTGCTTTACTCTTTTCAAAGAGTATATTTTATGGAGTGTGTCACATGTTTTAGAATAAGGTCTGTAGTGTCAAAAGGTATTGTTAATTTTAAAACAAATAAAATAAGGATATTTATATTCTAAAATACTCTAGTAGTTTTGTTTCCCAGACCAGTATCCTATTTTGGGTATTCTGATGAAGCTGTAAAAATTCAAATTTGAGTTTCCATCATAACTTCCTTATCTTAAAATATTTCTTTAATTTTTTCCTCATTTTAGAAGTCGAAGTATCTCTAACATGAGTGCAAGCTGGCATGATACTCATGTCCTTGTGATCTCAAAACTGCAGTATAGCAATGTTTTATGATGCTTTGTGAATTATATGCAAACACCACTTCCAACACTAATAAAACTAGTGCACAAACCTCTGAGTTTGGTGTCTACTATGAAAATGAAATTGATATGTCCGGGAAACAGTACATTTATGACTCTCAGGATTGCCTTCTCTAGTAGCCTTTTGGATGCAGAGTGTACTCCCCCGTGGACAGTGGTTTAGGGGAAACTAAGAGTTAGCAATAAACAATTTAGCCAGCTTTTGGTTTTGTCACTATAGGGATAATAACAGATTTCTCTTTTTTTGCATGTAGAGGTCCCTTTTTATATTCTTTAAACTATGAATATGTAGTTTCAACTTTCTAGCCTTAGATATACATGTCTTTGCTTATTTTACCAGCATACCCAGCAGCAGGTGAAGAAGGTCCTGGGAAAAATTACTGATAGTAAGAATAAACTGTCCTATGAGAAGGGGAAGCTCCAGGTACAAGATTTCTCAAACTTTGGTTGTTTTCATTAAGTATTTTTTTCTCTGTATGCAAGCTAATTAAATCCAGCTGTAAAGTTTTCAGTTTTTCAATAATTTTCACAGAAAATATAGAGAACCTCTTGTTCTTTGCTTGATTTAAAAAAAATTTAATATAGTACTTTCCCAATAAAAATAGCTCTAGGAATTGTAATCTAGTATGGATGGAATGGATTTGGCATTCGTTCACTTATTCAACAAGCATTTATTAGGTTTCTTATATACTAGACATTGTGCAGGTGCTAAGAATACAAATATAAAAGCAAAAGCAACCTTGCCCTTAAGGAATTACATCCTGCTGTTGTATATGGTGTATACCTTCATATAGTAGTTGGAGGGAAAAGAGACACCAACAACTGGGGGAATTAGGAAAGGCCTTTTGAAGGACAGGGAATTGTACTGAGTCTTGAAGGGAGCTAATGATTCCAGGAGTCAAAGCTAAAGAAGAGCATTTATGGAGGTAAGCGATGGAATGCCTTGTACAGGGAAACCTAGGTGGACAAATTTGAATGGAACATGGAGTATGTGAGGATAAGTAATATGTAATTGTCCTGGAAAGATAAATTGGAGCCAGATTAAGAAGGACTTCAAACACCAGAGGCATTCTTGAAAAGAGAACTGAAAGCTTCTTGAGAAGAGAACTGGGCAAAAAAGAAAAGGAAAAAAAAAGAAAGAAAAGAAAAAACTGAAAAAAAGAAAAGAGAACTGACAGATCTGTAGCTTAGGAATATCAATTTGGCAGTTAAATGGAAGATGTTTGGAGGTTATTATAAAATTCTGAGGCAGGTGATGAGGATCTAAACTAGAGTGGTTGTGATATGATGGAGGAGAGGGAATATATGCCAGAGATGTTGTAAAGGAAGCCTTGATGAGTCTTGGGAATTGATTGGCCTAGGATTAGTGAGAGTGACTAGTCAAGAACATCTAAGTTGTGAAACTTAATGACTAGAAGAATAATGGAACCCTTAACAGAAATAGGCAAGTCAAGGGGAAGAATAATGATAATAGCTCACATTTATATAACACTTTAAGATTTAAAAAATTATTTCCTCATAACCACTCTTTAAAGTGGGTAATTTTATTCTGAGGTATCACCTCACACCTATCAGATTGGCTGATTTGACAGAAAAGGAACATGACAATGTTGGAGAAGATGTGGGAAAATTGAGATATTAATGCACTGTTGGTGAAGTTGTGAACTGACTGATTCAACCATTACATAGAATAATTTGGAACTAACTGTGCCCAAAGGGCTATAAAACCATACATATATACCCTTTTATCCAGCAAAACTACTAGTTCTGTGTCCAAAAAGAGATAAAAAACAAAAATGAAAAGGACCTACATGTACAAAATATCTATAAAAGCTCTTTTCTGGTGGCAAAGAATTGGAAGTTGGAGAGATACCGATCAATTGGAGAATGGCTGAACAAGCTATGGTATATGATTGTGATAGAATACTGTTGTGCTACAAGAACAAGGAGAAGGATGCTCTCAGAAAAAGTGGAAAGATTTATATGAACTGATGCAGAGTGAAATGAACAGAACCAGGAGAACATTGTACACAGAAACAGCAATATTGTAAGATGATCGAAACTGTGAATGATCTGGCTGTTCTCAGGAATACAGTGATCCAAGACAACTCTGAAAAACTTAAGATGAAAACTGCTATCCATCCCCAGAGAAAGAACTGATGGAGTCTGAATACAGATCGAAGCATACTTTCATTTACTTTCTTTATTTTTCTTAGGTTTTTTTTAATTTATATTTTCTTTTACAACATGACCAATATGAAAATATATTTTGCATGATAAGACAGGTATAACCTATATCAAATTCCTTAGTTTCTCAATGAAAGGAAGGAAGGAGGGAGAGAAAATTTTAAAAATGAATGTTAAAAATTGTTTTTACATGTAACTGGGAAAAAATAAAATTCTAAATTTTTTTTAAAAATTAAAAAATAAGTGAGTGGCTTTAAAGATAAGCTGTTTTACAAATAAGTTATCTCATCTAGAATATAAATCTATTAATCCATCTATTAATTTAAAATAAAATACATACCACTTGTTAGCCAGGCATATTTGTAAAAGAAAAATTTTAGAATATTAAAATAATATAAGATAGTCATTAGAATGTGAGTAATTTTTAAATTTATTGATTTTACCACTGTAAAGAAATGTGGGCTGAGGATACTCAGAACTTTGGGAAATAAACTGTCTTAAATATAAGAGATAATTGGCTAATTAGAGGAAATATTAAAGGAAAATCCATATATAGAATCCTTAAAAAAGCAATAATTTTGAATGCTGTTTTAATTGGTATACTACACATATTATAAAAGAAACCTTTTAGTATTGAATTGAAAATGGATAATATAAAATTTGGCACAGCATTGATTGTTATTGTTTTAGGGGTTCAAGTAAAGTGTTAGGTAAAAGGAAAAAATAGCACTTTGAAATTATCAGAATTTAAGAATATGCTTTTCATACCCACAGTCATGTCAGCAGCTATTGCTCTGACTTCCATTATACAGTAAATGAGTTTAATTCAAATTAAAATCTGAATTGAGGAAAAAGATAATTTAGAGAAAGACTGTTTATATTGCTATAGGCTTTTTGTATTTCCACAATGATACAGGGCATTATTTGTTTATAAACCATGAGAAACACATTTTGAGAAATTAGGTAAACTAAAAATTGTTTACTGCCCATTATCTAATAGAGTTAGCTATTGGGGGTTTTTTCCCACTTTAGAACCCACAAAAATAATACATTGTGAAAGAATAGTCAAGTTTGCCTTTGTGTCATTGGCAATTTTGCTTTTCTGAAATTGTGGTTCATCATAATCTGTAGCTATATAGCATCAACAGAAGAATAATGATGTTTAAAGAGCAGCATTTATGTCATTAAAAAGCTTCTGATTGTTGAAAATACTACGTAGTTTCCCCAGTGCAATCAATCCCATTCTCTTCCTCCTTGTCTATTCTGGGTCTAGCTCATTATCCATCGGCAGTGCCTAAGATATTTACATACTGAAAGATAGTTTAATGGGCTGTTTATCCAACTTCATATCATTGCCTAGACAACTGGCATTCCTAATCCATTTTGGTTTTTCTGTGTGGATTGTTAGTGAGATCTCTTTAGTAGCTATGGAGTAACTGTGCATGCTATGAATTACAGAGAATCTTGTAGATACTTTGTAATATTATGCAGCTTGCTCCAGTCAGCACAAGATCATCAACAAGTATGAGGTACTGGAACACTCATTACCTATTTAAAAAAATCTTTCTTCCACTTCTGGATGAAGGACTAGATATTTTGTCCAGCTCTCACAAGCTTTCAAAACTCCCAAACTGAGGAATTATGTACACAAGATAAAGCAATTGTAGCTTTCTCAGTAGGCTAAAACACTAAGAAGCCTAACAGTGTAATAACCTGATTTATATCAGAGAAGGCTAATCCCCAGAAGGCTCACTTGCCCTGCCCTCCTTCACTACCATTCTCTGGTAGTATGGCACAACCTATCCTACCAACTTGTGCTCTGGGATCCATTCAGCAATTTTCTTGCTGCTACTATTGGCGGTCAGCATAGTCTGCCCCTACACTCATTCCACCATGCAGTGACGACTAGTAGCAGACCTCAACTCTGCCCATCTCTTATTGAAGAGGAGGAGATAGGAAAATGGAAGTGAGCTCTGCCTGGGACAGTAGCTCCTTGGAGCAGCGCTCAAACAGGGAACTAAAGAAAAGAGGAAACTGGGATAGGATGCAGGCAAGTGTGTGGGGCTGCACCAAGCCTGAAGGAAAGGGGACTAGCATCCAACAGGGGTCAGTTTTGGTGCTTCCCCAAAAGTCACTTGAGACTGATTTTTGTTTTTGTTTTTTAAAAGGTGACTGTCCCAATGTGAGCTGAGCTAGCTATTTGTTCTAGCCTCTGGAGAAATTCACAGTCAAAGGGGAAAGAATCAGAAAATGAGCAATAGGAAAATATCAGGAAAAAAGACTAAAATTACCAAAGATATTGGGAGAAAAACAAATCAGTTATAAACTAGAGCTCAATCAGATAAACCAAAAGGAAATATATTAAAAACACCTATACAAACCCAAACATCTCTAAATAAAAATTGCAAAACAAAGAAAATTGAATCAACACCTGATTGGGCAGAGGACCCTGTGGATTCCCAAAAAACATTGAATCATAGCAGGATATTTCCAGATGATTCAAGAAAGAAATAAGAATCTTTAAAGCAGAATTTTAAAAGAGAACAGATGGCAGAAATTAAGGCCTGCCCAGCAAAAATAATAGCAAAGTAGAAATACTTGAATCTAGAGTGGTCAGTTTTTCCAGAAAAGTAAAAGAAAGAAAACCTGATTGGTAATACAAATTACTTAAGTGAAGGACAATTTGGGAGGAAAGAAGCAGTTTGCATTGTTAAAAAACATGTTCTGTATGTAAGACAAACACATTGAACTCAAAGACAAGACGTGTAGAAACAACGAGGATCATAGTCTTCACATAACATGACAAGTCAAAAAAACCCCACAATGCAAGAAGTAAAACAAGAAAACTGTCCAGAACTATAGAGAAAACAAGTGTCAATCAAAAGAATCCATAGACTATCTCCAGAAACAAAAAACAAACAACTGGTGCTTAAAATTTCAAGGCATATATTGATTAAATTTAACAATTTCATTTCTGCAAGCAACCAGACATTCAAATGTAAAGAGAAGGGAATTTAAATAGCATGAGAGTATTCTACACCCACTAAAACCTGCAGAATGTAACGGAATAACATATTCCAAAATGCAAAAGACCTTGATGCAACCCAACATTACATAACCTATAAAAGTGTACTAAATCATGAATGAAAAATGATGGATGTTCAATAAAAGAGAAGCATTTGAAATATTCCTACAAAAAAAAGAAAAAACAGACAAGAGGAAATTATTCAATTTGTA